AACAACAAAATCTGAGGTACATTAAAAAATAATTTAGTGGATAATATCAATGGAATCCCGAAAAAAAAATCAATCGAAATATAATTCTGAGGATAGATCCAAAAGAATTCGATTAAAACATTTCGCATTTGCTGGGAGTACTCACAGATAATGGTGAAAATAATACTAATGTAATGCTGAGCATAACTTCAAATCTATATTAATTCTTCATCTAATCCAAATCTAATACAGCCAGTACGAGAAAGCATCCTGGAAAATGATTAGGTTAGATGAGGTCTAATCATTTTTCTTGTCTTATTGATGTTTACAGCATATCTGAGAAATGATATAAACATTAAATACGGCCAGACCTACTGCGTTGTATTTGCCGCAAAGATGATTCTTGGAAATGAATGGGAACATTTCTTGAATCTACAGGGGTGGAAGGATGCATGGACATACCGTACAATATTTGTACAATATTGAAGAATCATGAAATAATGCAATGAAAGGATCTTACCAAATATATAATAATAACAATATGATCAATTCATGCCTTTTCCAAATGTTGCAATGGCGACCCGCAAAATATTGCTTTACGCACCATCTAGCGTTGAAAAAGGTCAGCAACAATCATTCAATTACAATTGAGGGGTGCGAATACAGCACTTATTACAAAAGTAAGAGTCAAATTATTTTCATTAATTACATTGTGAATATTACTTTAAAATTTTTCTGACATGTCACGGTTGTCATCAAATAAAATAAAATGCTGAAATTTATTCATTTGAAATATTAAACAAATTTTCATTTGGTTTACCCCTCGTGACGATAAACAAACACATTGGTAGCCTTTTTGGCCACAGAGGTGCTTTCATCGCTTAAAATTCGGTTCGCCAGCTAAGCGAAAGAGTGGATCATATTGTCAATATAATATATTTGATCTTACCGAATTCCTATGTTGGTAATGATTCTTTTGCGCTTAAAAGTTTCATTGGATGCATCCGCTCCTTGTTTATCATGGGGTTTGGGATGCAGTTCCTCGTCATTGCTCGTGGTTATGTTTAGTGATGTGATGGAGATCATTTCTTTCTCTAGAAACTACTACTCCTGGCTGATCCGCCAGCCAAGCTGGCACGGCAAGCAAGCAAATCAATTGCCTCCTCGTTCGAATCCTTCGTTGTGAGTGGTTCCGATAGATACGCGCCCATTTTGGCTAGCAAGCAGCAGCACTTTGCAGGAGAAAATTTGCACGTTCGATTTTAACCTACTTCTACTGGATGTCCTCCTGGACTTATTTTGTAACTTCCGGTTTCCGAATCGTTGTGCACTTATAACTAAATCCAAACGGACACGATTCAACAGCATCATTAGAAAATTCAGCGGAGATCTGCTGAAAACTCTTTCGATCCTTTTTTTTTTAAACCAAACAGCATTAATAAAAACACGCGAAATTATTGAAAAAGTTTTCAGGTGTCCAAAATGCACCAGCTAAAGGACTTATTGCAATAAATTTTCAATAAACATCTCGGAAAATAATTTTTTATTTATTTACCTCAGAACACGATTCCTTTGGCATTTTTCTCGGATCTTGCTTAAAGTTCTCTTGGGAATCTTCCTCAGTATTCCCTTGAAATTATTATCAGAAAACCCTTTAAATTCTATTCTCCTCACAATCCGCATACAATTCTGTTCAGAATCACCTAGGAATTCCCCTTGAAGTTGTCCCACATTTTCCTTGTAATTATTCTAAGAGTTTGTCAGGACTTAATCCTACAATTACTTTAGGATTCTTGCCAGAGCTACGTTTATTTTATCTAAATCTGGAATCTTGAAAAAAAATCTAAATCAGGTAGCAAGATTTTTTTTTCAAAATCTATTGACTATTTTTCTCAGTTTCATATTGTTGGAAAAAATTCCATCCTGTTTTTTTTCTTCTAAATCTAGGATAGATTTTAATAAGTCACCAATCTCTAATAAGTCACTAAAAAATGGCATATTCTAATAGCGTATTCGTTTATTATTCAGTTCCAACCTGGATCGGGTATCAAGATTGGATCTGCTTGTTTTCTGACAAACGTCAGTTTGATCGTTTGTTTTTAAAACCCAGCTCAGGTTGAGGTTCGCACTGACAAAAAGTTCGGTTTCGCACTGGGTTGGAACTGGTTCCAACCCCGATAATAAACGAATTCGCTATAAGACTCTAAACACATGTCAAAGCGTCAGAATCATAGAAATTAAAATTGTTTTTGTGATTTAATTTGTTTTTAAGATTATGTTTTTTCCTTGATTTGTTTTTCGTCGATCTTTTTTTCCGTACTGAGTACCAAAGCTACCGGCGCCAGGTAGACAGCTCCCACACCTAGACCCTACCTATCGACCCATAAACTCATGGACCGTGGACCTACGGCTTTTTACTTCCCTTCCGAAGGCAGACGTGATCAGAGATTTTATGCTACAGATAATCCCGGCGGCACCCACTGGGATTGAACCCAGGCCTTTTGGGGTGAGAGGCAATCACGCCTACCACTACACCACCGGTGCCGTTATTTTTAAGACTTATATTAGCACAGATCACGATGCTTTAAAAAATTTCTTGTTCCGTATCAAGTTCGAGATTTAGAAAACAATTTCTTAATATAATCTCTCCTTCTAAAATTCGTTATAATGACCAATTCAGCCCGATAGCGTTCGGCTATGCGACCTTAAAAAAATCCATGACTCTGGTTCGCTGTATATTCTGGCGCTTTACAATCATAAGTTAATCAAATTGATTCTAAAAACCTCAAGATAACGTGATATATAAAAATTATTTTAACTAAATATTAAAAACCGGGAATGTTTTGAGATTTGAACCGAAAAAACCGGTAAAGGTTTGATTCATTTTAACAAAATGTTTAATTTCGGATGAAAAATGATTTCCATTCTTAGCCAGTTTCTTAATATTTTAAAATTTTAAGTCGTACTAAACAAATAGGTGCATATTTTTCTCAGTTTTGAATCTATTATCTATAAAATTTACTGGGGGGCGACCCCGGCGTAGCCGTTAGCATCCATACTTCTCACGCCTTAGTCACGAGTTCAAATCTCACCCCCGGACAAGTCACGAATGACCCAAGAGCGTTAAAGTGGCTATAAAAAAAATTAAAAAACTATAATATTTAAATATGCGATCTTGCGACCCGTAGATTGAGAAACCCTAGTTTAGTAAGTTGCTTATTTGATAAAAATATTAAAGATTTCATCGTTGATCAATTATACATTTCAATTATTTGCAAAGAATTTCAAAGTAGCTACCAAGGCCGTTAATAGCACGCTAATCGCCCTTTTTGCAATGATTTTTAATGTGTGTGTATAGTATTTTTTTTACAGTGCAATGTCTTCTGAGTAAGTCAAGCTATTTTTGGTTTTTAGGCAGTGTTACGTTTTGCCAGTGGACAGACTTAGAAAATATCATCGAACTCGTTAAAATTTTACCAAAACATCAACAAGTCTATTCTAAGTTTGCTTAAAAAGATGCTCAATTGAATTGCATCGAAAGGCAGTTGACCCAAAATGCAACACCAACCACACTGCACTTCTATGTATATGTATGCAAATCCGGTTCGAGTTCTGGCTGTCGTTATCGATCTTTCAAGCACATGCACTGTCACACTTTCCGATTCTAATCGCTTTCTAAGAATAGCTGGTCTCCACTCCGTCTTACAAGAACGGCTACTGGCTGTAATGTGCACAAGAGCGACCTTGCCTAGCCTGCCCTATCATCAACAGCAGCTATGCACAATACCATCTAGTCAGTCAGTCGATTGAAAAGGCTTAAAGTGCTGCACGCGCCAACAACCTCCTCCCAGAGTTACACTATGTGGGCCAAGTATAAATTGCACATGACAGGCTAACATGATCCTTTCCAAAACTGCCCTGACAACTGCTCGCTGCATACGTGGTTCCTACCAACCAACTGGAGCTCTCAAAGATTAAACATACAAACGATAACAGCTATTTACGCGATATCATAAAGTAAACGGAGAAGAAGTATGACGTAACAACTATTATTTTCCACCTCCGCAGATTGGAATCGCATAATCTTCATCCGTCTTCATTTATGATTATGAATTTTACTAGAGTAGACGCTCATAGCTGAAAGTGATTGTCTTAACATTTCACATTAGGCACCTTCATTAAAGCTGGTGTACTTAATTGTTTTGCAAAATTCGCTCCTATCTCTATGGCCATGTGACTGTGTATATTCATTCTGCCAGAGTTTGCTCTATCTACGTATCTACCTAGTACCTATCTACCAACTGCATGAACCAGAATTTTGAGTGACCTACATTTCACCAACGCTATACCGAGCGGTAGCGAAAGGCAGGAGAAATGTGAGGTAATGTTGGAGTGGGAGGCACTGCTGGTGATGAGCGACGGATTTGTGCAGCAGCAACAACAGTGTGTTGCATACAAGCCAATAATGCAATAGTTGGGTATGAAAGCGAAGACGTCGTCGCGGGCAGCGTGGTCCTCCCCCAGCTAGAAGAGGCAAACAGTTGGGTCATGTATGGTGATGATGATGATGCCGATGACGATGATGGTGAGTGGTACGTGTGTGAGTAGTTCAATGATGCATGTGTGCAAGTCGCACGGAAGAAAGGGAAAATCATGCTCACTGTTTGCGTTGGTAGGTGGTATCAATCTGCATGCCTACTGCGTACCTTGAAGACATTTTTCTCACAATGTTGTTTTGATAGCTTACTTGTACAGATGGGGAAACAAAGCAATGTTTTCGTATTATTATGACGTTTCATGCATGAATAAAGGTTGCTCCAAATTCAACTGGGACATCCCAGTAGCTTAATCGGTAAACGTGCGACTACAAAGCAAAACCAATGATTCCCGTTCCGATCTAAGATTTTTTTCGGGTTGGACATGCTCGTGATTTCCCTGTATATCTTTGAACAGAATCATTCTTGCCCATTGTTCAAAACAACGAATCTAACCTAAATTCCCCGTTCTTCATTTCCCCCCAGATGCACAGCGGTAGTTTCATCTCATCCAAACACCCGGCCATCCCGGTGTCGATCGGCATTGCATCGATCGTGCTCGAGGGCCGCCCAGCAATCCTTGACGAGGGCTCAGCGCGCTCGGGCGACAGCACAACAGCTGGTGGTGGTCCGGGAGGGGGAGGAGGTGGATCGTCGGATGAGGAAGGTGGGTTTCATAGATCGTTAGGCGGTGGTGGTAGGCACTACAATGCAGCGGAATCATCAATCGAATCCGAGGGCGAACTGTTGGTCAACGAACGTCAGCAGCATTCGTTCATGTCCGATGCTGCCAAAAGAATCAATCTAAAGCTCCAGCAAATCCGCACCTGTCCGGGTAGCAGCAAGGATGTCGTCGAGAATATGATCACAGTAGAAGCCAGCTCGTCGTCTGGGATGGGCCGTCGTGATGACGAGCGTGACAGATACGGTGGGTACGACGGAGTAGAGACGTACGTCAGCGAAACCCATCCGAGTGAGTCGACATCGTTGTTGTTCAGTGCCAAGGCCTGGGGTCGCGAACATATCTACAGTGGATTTGAGAAAATGAAGCTTTTGGGTGCAGTTTCGCCGATTAAGGTTCCTCCGGCGGCGGCTGCTGCTATCCCGTTCATCAACTTTTCGTCGAACGTTAATAGGAAAAAGTCCGATGCCGGCTTGGGTAGTGCATCTCCGGCGGCCGGTAGCAGCAAACAGCGCACCCGGGAAGGACCTCATTGCGAGCAGTTTCTCAAGAAAATTGGCGTAATCAAGGCTGACCCCAGCGACGAAACGGAACACAGCTGCAGTTACCGGAACGAATTCGTAAGTTTTGCTCGAGTATAACGGTGAGGGGTGTATCAATGACCGCTAATGCGATTATTTGCCATTTTACAGTGTCTACGTTGGCAGGCGTATTTTAAACAACTGTCGTCTATTTTAACTTGCGGTGAAGCAATTTGCATAGAGGTTTACCTTGGACCGGAAAATCATGCCATCCTGCTGGAACAATGGATATTGAAGCTGAAATTGAAGTGAGTAGTTATTTAATTGAAATCTAAAGAGGTCAAATACCCATCGATAAACCGACATGAAACTTAAACTTAACTCTTGATCGAGAATCCATAACGGCGGATTCAAATGTGCAGCGATCCCATCTGTCAAAACTAAAGAGCCTGAATTTATAAAGAGGCGACATCTTATCCATTTGACAGGTCTTCTGCTCGATTGGAATGACTTTTCTTATGACTTTGACAGACAATCGATTGTTCCAATTTTGACATGTCGTCTCTTTATAAATCCAGGCTCTTTAGTCAAAACCATAGCATTGTTTTATCTAGATAAACATAATTTGCCCGGAATAGATTAGACACGAACCAGCTAATACATTTTGTATACGTGTTCATGGCTAGGATACACATTTTTCGCGAACAGATGTCAGTTTTGTGCTTTGATCAGAAATTTGATGATACTTTGTAAAGTCATTCATATCGGTTTGTCGGTGAAATACCTATATTATTTTCAAATACAGAAACAAAGTAAGTGGGCCTGTTCAAAAACTTTGTGGACCCTGCGCAGACAATAGTTCATTCAATGTTTTGGAAATTTGTATGACCGTAGACATTCACCTCCCCTTTCTCCCTAAGGTTTATGAAAAGTCCTTTACTTAAATTAATTTTTACTATAAAGGCCACTACAAATGAATTATTTTACTTTTATCACAACACCTTTAAATCAAGCGAGAAGGGACGGGAAAAAACAAAAGTAACTTTAGGTATTTAAAAAAAAATAAAACTTCAAAACTGTAACAAATATAAGAAATCTCTAAATTCAGAAAATTGTTTCAAATTCAAGATTTAAAATCTTGTCTAAATCTCAGAGTTGAAACGCTTCATGTCCCGACATGGAATATCATCCAAATATTGTTTTTAACTTGAACACTATCCTCTCCCTTTTTACCCTATCCACACTATTGTTAACTCATAAGAGTTAGGGGAAAGTGGAGCAGTTTTGCCACCTTAAGAAAATCACTAATCAGACAAAATTCAGGGGGAAATTCGAATGGTGTATAACCAAATGGATAGTTTCAAACACTGTTTACATCATGAATACAAATTGAATATTAAAAGTAAACTTTTGATTGTTATGAGAGCAAGCTGAACATTGCATTAGGTCCTAAGTAACATTGATCGATTCTCTTCGTCGACTTTCTCTTTCGTTAATAACATGAGCACATAACCGTTTCTTGTTGTGTTTGTAGTATTAGATGCTAGATGAAAGCTTCTTTTATTGATATGTGTGCTGAAAATACCAGAGAATGTCTTAAGATGGCCATGGGGATGCAAAGAGAAAATCGACGAAGAGAATCTGTCAATGTTACTTAGGACCTAATGCAATGTTCAGTTTGAAAGAAGATTTAAAAAATGTTCATTTTGTAACCGAAATTAAACCGTTTGGGGTAAAATGAGCACCCTGTCAAGGTGGTATGAGTGACCTTCTAAACAACGGGTAAGAATATTCTACTCTCTTGAGACTTTGTGAAGGGTCAACAATAAACAGTTTTACCATAAAAAGATTTAAAAAAGCAATTATTTTCAGTAGAATAAATTAAATTGAAGAAGTACTGCCTATTTAGGGCTACATTTTTTTGGTATTGTGAATGACTGATTTTTGACCAAAGCAGCTGCTTCAAAACGTGTTTCCATATGATGCAGTCATATTTATGAAAGGAATAGTGCAAAATTCAAGAATTTAAGTTGAAATATGCGTGCTCGTATTGCCCCGACTGGACTTAAGTAATATTTTGTTAAGAAGATCTTTAATTAAAAACTAGAAAAACATCGTGTCATATAAGAAACCATCGACCACTTTTAAAGCACCTTAAAAAGGAATATCAACGATAAGTTATAAAAATCTATTCATAGACCTTATTTTCTAATTAAGAAATTTTATAACAGTTTTGACATTTTGAGCTACACTAACATTTTTCGAATATTTGCTCTAGAGAAAACTATTTGGTTAGACTTAAATGAAATGGATAGTTGAAGTAGGCTTCAAGCCAGGCATTAAGCCTGCAACAGATTTTTTTAATAAATATGTTCAATACTTTGCTTTTTAAGCGCGTGGTCACATTGCCCCATTGGCCATATTGCTCCACTTTCCGCTATCTGCAGACGTCACTGAACATTTTCTAAGGTTAATTTCAAGAAAATTCTACGAGGTAATTTTGAAGTATTTTGCATGAAAATATAAGGAATATTCCTCGAGCATTAAAGGATGAACATGTATAACCAAGGAGGTGGCACCCCTATCTCTACTAATAACAAGTAGCCATAGCGAGCATAGTCGCGGACCCACGCTCTGGGCCCGCTTGTATTGATATGTGATCACGTTTTTATGCTGGCTACGAAAAAAGGTGGTTTGTCAGGCTCTTCGTAGAGTAGAGTTAATTTCAATTTTTTCTGGATAAATTTGAAAATGTTAAAAAGTTGTGGTGAAAATTTCAATCTGGGGAAATTCTAGGATGATATAGGTATGTTTGAAGGATATGTGCGAACGTATCCGGATAAAATGTACAAGGGAACTTGGCAGCATATTTTGAAAAAAAAAAAACTGCTTTAAATAATTCAAGGAGACGATAAAGAAAGGTAAAAAAATTTATTTTAGCAAATTCCCGCAAGAATTAAAAAAAAATCATGGTTATAGTAAATTGATGCGAAGATTTCTTTGGAGATAATTTTTAGAGTTTTCTACAGATAAATTCTAGAATGATGTGCAGAAAATTTTCGGGGAATTTCAGAAAGAATCCCAAAATTCATCTGGATGATTTTGAAGAGAACTCCAGAAAGGCCTTGCTTTATAGCTGAATCTTCACCGACTGAGATAAGGAAGGCCCCTGTGATTTCCTCTTCAACCAAAATCCCCATATAAACTAGGATAGAAACTTTAAACTAAAAGCACCAGCTCGTGTTACAACCAAATGAGCTGAAACTTTCTCACCAATTTAAGGAACAAATTTTAGAGTTGACCCGTTGAAAAAGTTGAATAAAATTTCTCCCATATAAATTTGGGCCAGTCTAGTTACGACCCACCCAGACCCTAATGACACGAACAGATTTTTTGTATGGGTTTAGGGATTACATTAATTACGTATGCATATTTTTTTAGGACTGTTCAACCCCCTTTCCCCCATTGTAAGACTTAGATTACTATATATAAGAAAACACACATACTATTAGCTCAGACAAAAAATATTAAGATGAATCCTGTAACGTCTTCAAATGCACATTTAGTGTCTCATAACTTATGCACTTGCATCTCTTTTATTTGCAGAACATCTGAATCAACAATGACACTACAATCGTTATGTGCTGCCATCCGTAGTCAATTATATTTTTCGCAAATCTCCGCCTGGACTGATCTGATAAAAAATTCGCTTGAACCGGAAATTTTCAACAATCCACGAATCAGAAAACTATCCGCGGACGAACCGGGTGCTTCTTCAATGAGTGCACCTATCCCGATCGGCGGTAGTTGCCACGCCAGTGGAGAAACATCACCACTGGTTTTACCGAAAGCGAAACTGGACATTCTGTTTCGCATCCGTGGCTACGACAATACTGCTTGCTTCAACGAGCAGCCGAACGTGCACAACTTTCCGGATGCCATCATTGCAGACAACTATGTTATAGAAGTGTGCTTGAAGAGTTTGCCGAGACTGGAACGGATACCTAGTATCAATGATGAGATGGATGCCAAGATGGATGAGAGTTTGGTTAACGATCGAATGGATTTGCCGTGTCATGAGAAGGGAAAACATCGGTGTGCTTTTCAGGACGAGGATGACGAGGATCCTCAAACGGGAGAAGACGACATGTCCCCCGCTGCGATTAGTCATCGAGAGAAACAGCTGATGAAGTACAAGAAACGTATGATGAAGCGCGAAAAGAAGAAGAAAACTTCTGCACAGGAGGTCACGGTGGCAAACAATGGCGGTGGTCGTGCCGAAACGGTACCCATGATGGTTACCCCACCTATGTGCAAATCACCGGCATTGAAAATTCCTACCGTGAATCACCACGCCAGCAACTGCAGCAGCGCATCGCCGTACGCTTCATCAATCAATCTTATCCAACCACCACTGTACTCGAATTGCGATGATCTTTACCAACCAGCCTCGTGTGTGAACAACACGAAAGCAACTCAGACTGCCATCTTCCTCAGCATGTCCAACGGTGGTAACGTTTCGACCGTAGCCACCCAGACAGATGCGAGTGGGTGTTGCTGTCTCTGTGCTAAGCAGCAACCGGAGCCGGCACCTGGTCATAGATCAACGAGCACAAACAGTGATAGCAAAATGCAATATAGTAATAGTAATTATAATCGTCGTGATTACACTAGTGATGACTGTGATACTAGCCAACCAGAGGTGGCTGTTGTGGTCCACGATGATGTCCAGTTGAAACGCCATCATCGGGAAGAGGAATCCAGGGGTCTTCGGAAGGCCGAACTGCTCCTACAGGCCATTCATAGGACGGCCATCATCAACGACCACCAGCAACCAGACGTGGCACATTTCAAAAACAATAATTACTATAGTGGTAGTTACTATGATAATAACAATACTGGTAGTGATACAGCAAAGTGTGAGCGAAGAGAATGTGATACTTTTACTTTCAATAAGGAAGCACTAGATTTAGGAGACTGTCGTTTGTGCAAACGACAAAAAACGAAGCATAATTTTAAGTTAGCTCTCAACCAGTCGGATAGCAGCAGCTGCAGTAGCAGTAGCAGCAGTACCAACAACAGTCCTCCCGGTTGTCGCCGAACGTTGTCGGAAAGCTTGGTCGGCCATTTTACTATACCATCCTCCTCGCCCGGTGGTGACGATGAAACCGATTCCAATTCCTACCACGTCAACGGGTTCAACGGACACAAACAAGGCCAGGACGTTGGTGATCTCAGCGTCGCCCTCAGCAGTTCGGCTGGAGCCGTCGACAACGGCGGAGCGTTCTCCTTTGAGCAGCTGAAAAAGGGCTACCGTCGAGCTTTCTCGGAAGATGTCATCGATACGATCAGTTTGGACAATGCACTCGGAACGAAAAAACTCTCCGACGTGGATAATTGTGAGGATGGTGGTGATGAGGATGACGAAAGGGAAGATGAAACCTTCTCAAAATGCGATTGTCCGGTAAGAACCTGTTTGGTATCGAAATTGCAGAACAGCCTTGCACATTAATGAATTGTAACGAAGTATACTACCCATAAACGTATAACAGTCCAATTTAAATAGGAAATCAAGCAAACATGTGACTGTTATGCTTTTATGTCCAGTATACAGCTTCTCGATATTTTTTGGCCGACTTCATGGAGATGCTTGGTGTTCTATTACAGTTCGAGGAACGTGCAATTCTGACTGCTTTCAGCATATTTTCGAAAAATACGTGATTACTGATAGTAAATTTTTCCAGATCATGTTCGCTCAGCCATCGCCGGTCGAGCTTTTGGGACGTCGTTCGGCGTTCGCTAGACCGAACGTCAACAGAATGCAGACATCCACGCCGGCCAGCAGTACAAGCAAACTTCCTCTCTACGTGAGTTGCACGGAAAGCGACTGCTCTATCAGCACGGCCAGCAGCATATCACCCCACAAGAAACAGATACTCAGCTGTACCGCTGTCGCCGGAAATTCACGTCTCGCTGGGAAACCTTCATCGTCTTCCTTAAATTTCACCATCCCCAAAATCAACCTTACCAATGTTTTCAACGTATCGCCCCTCGCCCGGGAGGATTCCGGCTTTGTCAGCAGTTCCAGTCCGATACCAATCGATGGAAGTGTGTTCAATTTTCCCGATTCCGTCAGTAGGTTGAATGTACAAAAATCGAATTCTGCCCCGACTTGTCAACTGTCACCAGGATCTCTATCGCCAAGGTTTCTACGTCATGCTTACAAGAGCCAACGTACACGCTACCTATCGGAACGCAGCTCCTTCTCGGAACGTTCATCCATCGGTTCCGATGAACAATTCTCCGACGAAGAGTATCCTTATTTGCTGGATTTTACCAACAACGCTAGCAACGGCAGCAACTTACATCTCAGTCCCAGCAAACTTCCGAGTTCACCGTTGAAGCTTGGCATTGCTCAGCGACCATTTAGTAAACCGTTTAGTAAAAACCTTTTCAAATTTGGCCGCCTTCCGCTGTTAGGCACACTAGAAGAATCGCTGCTACAGCGCCGCATTGCCCCCAAGTTTCAGGTAGCCGACTTCAAGGTGTTACTCGGCGCCTCGGGGAGCTTCTGTCCGACTCAGTTAACCATCCCGGCAGCTTCCTACTTTTATGAACTACCAGGGCAGCACCTAACCACACCTTATGTGGTAAGTTCGTTTATTTTTTAGAAAACTGAACGGCACAATTATACAATTTGGTTTGTCTTTTTACACAGTGCGAACTACGTCTTCCAAGGAAAGGTTACTCCATCCCACGGCAAGGGACGGTACAGGTCACGTTGCTCAATCCACTAGGCACCGTCGTGCGGATGTTTGTGGTGCCGTATGATTTCCGGGATATGCCGGCGATGTCCACGACGTTCATCCGGCAGCGGATATTGGCATACGACGATAGTAACAAAGATGCGTCACCCACAGCCGGCAACAGGAGCGTCGAACAGCTCAGCAATGCCGAACAGATGAAGCTACTGCGATATGCCATCCATTTGAGGTATGTTGAGGCATGTTTGAAGTCGGCATATCTATATGATAACATATCTGAAACCGTATTCATTTCGTAAACTACCCTCGTAGATTAAGTCTTGTATATTGTTGGGCTGATAAAATTGTACCGACGTCTCTTTCAATGGAAAATAATTGCTCGTGGAGACGCATGACAAATATTCTACCCTTCAAAATCCACATGAATTACTAAACCCACCCTCATAGTTCATTCAAGTCTCGTCATCCCAACAAAGCCACGACTCCTAAACAATCGTTCTTCTCCATCGTTCGTAGATTTCAAACGTCTCGCTCCGGAAAGCTCTCGCTGCACACCGACATCCGGCTGTTGATCTCCCGTCGCACCGACTGTGATACGGCCGCCGCCCACGCTAAGAACCTACTGGAGGCACCGAACGAGCTCAAGGTGGTCACCATCGTACCGGAGAATCCCAAGTTCAGCCTGCGGGTGGACAAACAGTAGAATCTTCTCGCTCACTCAGTCACTGCAACACTAGTTCTGTTAGAAGTTACTCGTTTCCATTTGCGTCCGTGTTCTCCTATGTTTCTTTTTTAGATTCTAACCGATCCGTTTTATTTCCATGAAAATTATCATGTTTTCAAAATTTTTAATCTGTTCTCGCGATGGCATTGTGATTTCTGTTTTATTCCCGGAGAGGGACCTTCTCGGTATGCTCTACGCAGCGTGATGGTTGTGGCGGAATGTGAAATAAGGACCACAACCGAAGAACTTAAAGTAGAGCAGGGAAAAGGTACCCGAGTGTAAATCGATTTTAACGAGCTGATCTATATTTAAATATCATTTGTTGTGAATTCTTTTGTTGGTAGAATATAAATCAGATTTTTTCTTATTCATGAAAGTTGTCGGATTCGATTTCATGTCACGTTTTTAGATGTATTCTAGATGGAGAAGAAAAAATATTGGTAAAGAGTGATGTGCTTCGTCTGTAGAGGAAAACAAATAATCGATATCACTAGTTGTGATGCGAACAAACGAGAGCCAAGTAGGTTATATTTTCGTCTGCTATTATTTTGTCTAGGATTTAAAATCGCGAACGATACGGTCAAATTGGTTGCGCAAGCTGTGATTTGCAAAGATGGTCGCTTTTGGTGGCTTCGGCCTCGGATTGTCGCCATCTCTAAATGATAAACAAAAAGCGAATTGTGTATATTGTTATTAATATTCTCGTTTTAGTGATAACATTTTTTTCTGTTTGTTCAAATTAATCCGCCTAGGTTTAGGTCCACAAAACCCACTCTACCGATGTGTGCTGTATTCTGTATTTTAATTACCATAAAAATGCTATACGTTTCGGTGCAGGGGGCAAAAACGAAAAGGTCTGCCAGATTTCGCTGCAACACAGTCGATGGGATACAATGTTAAGAAATTTGAAATTTGTGCATGACGGTGTAAAAGCTTTTATAGGAAATCGTTATTTTAGTCTCAACAAGATGCCGGTTTTGAAAAAAATTAAAAGTGTGGACCATTGAGCATTTTAGAAAAATAACATTTGATTATGCGGATCGCCTGGAAAAACAACATGACAGTAGTCAGAATGTTTAAGATAGGAAAAATAAAATCCTGAGTTTTCAGAACAATCTTAGATACGGATAAAAGTGTATTGTTCTCCTTGAATTTACTGGAAAAACTCTCCATTTTTATTGTGGTATCGACCTTGGTTATAAATCCAGAAAATTTGCACAATGCAGTCAACTTTCCAAATGGAGATTTTGAAGGGACCATCGTAATAGAGAAAAATCGAAAAGTAGAAGTTTATTAGATCACTAGTAGACCGCTTAGGGAGATAGAGATAGAGAGAAAATCTGTCACACATGCAGATGTTGATCATTAGGATAGTTCAAATTTCAAAAATGTTCTTAAATCGTAGCCTCTATTAAATCCTGTAAATTACACTTAACACTATTTTAGTCAGTCACCAGATGAAATAGAAAACCAGTCAGTATAGCTTCAGTTCACAAACTACAAGAGAGCGATCGTTTGCTTTATTGCATATTTATACTGTTCTGCTATCACTCGTCAACCCATACAAATGTACCTCTTATATACATTTCGACCTAAGGGATTCCGATCATAGTTCGATTATCCTTTTACACAGCCCCGTAACGTGGGTAGATCACCTTTTCGTGGTACGTTACGGGATGTAAAATCTACCACCGATTCCTAGTCCTGACTACTTCAAAATAGGGGAACAGGATTTTTCAGTAATCCAAGGAACACAGCTTAGTCCTTGTTACTTGTTATGCCTTGTCGATAGTGACAAGACTCGGCTTTATCAACCGAGGATGATCTTGAAACAAGGAAAAAATGAGTTAGTTAGTCTTCATCTATGTGATTCCTAATCTTCTATTCGTTGTTCTCTAGTTTGAAGTGGTTTAGACTAGGGTTCTGATGAATGGTCATTATCGGTGTCATACCTTAATTTTGTTGCTAAGGAATCCAATTGTGACTGACAAAGGGGCGCGACTTTGTAGGGTGTTTCAACACTCCGAATGGTATAAATAGCGGGACCTTTTAATTAGAGTCGGATCCTTGCGATAAATGCAAGAATGACAACTGTAAAAAAATCGAATACTTCATCATTTCTCAATAGTGATGAAGTACTACCACATGCACTTAACTAAGGACATGGGATATATTACAATAGATCAAATTACTGGTCGCAGTGGTGTTAGGTCCCGAACAGAGGAAAAAAATCCTTTTACACCGTACACATCTTCAGTTAAGAAATACAATTCTACATAGATAAATTCTTCTGATCAAATATAACTTTTCCGAAATCAAGGCAATAATTCACAAAATATATTTTCGATTGTCAAAAATGTACATCATCCTTGCTTTATCTATTGATTAGTTATCTTAACCTATACTAATTCATGATTCACTTCATCTTCATTTCGAGTTCATTCTATATGATACTCTTTCCGACATTGCCTTTCACACCTTTCTTCTGAACATTACTTGCACTTGTACTTGGACCTGGACGCAAATGCGGATCGATTCCGCATTTGTTTATCGAACCCAAAAAACAATAGGACTACGTCTCATTACCTTGAGATGTCTACTATCGTCTTCGGTTTTATTGGGCTTTTCCGCGATATCCGGAAATCCAAGGAAATCCTCCTCCGAATCACTTCTTTCCCTTGTCCTCTTTCTTAGTTGTATCGGTACTTGTATTCTTGTATACGTCATCTTCGGGCTCCCCACTTAGAGCTGGTTCCGGTGTGCATTGGCCGTATGTCTGCATTGGAGAGATCACGTTCTGTTTTTCTAAAGCGTCCAAGTGTTCTATTACCTTTTCCCGAATTTTAAATGGGACGTCATACTAAGTACTTTGAGTAGTAATTCCGCCTCATAACCCTGTGATCCGCCTAACTCCACCTCTCTATTTATCGAATTGACCATGGCAGGATTCATAAATGTTTCCCTCCAGTTAGGATGAAATGCGTCCAACCAATCTATTCCGAATAACGGAGCAAAAAGACTTTGTCCATCGAGTATAATCAAGTTCACTTTGTGGCACATGTTGTTGAACCTCGCTTCTACCTGTATTTTTCCAAAAATGTTTAATTTTTTACCGTTGACCACTACCAGACGGCTGCTACAATCATTAACCCTAGCATGTCCATAATATTGATTATATGTCCCCCCCAGGCTAATCACCGAGACTGCCGCACCGTAATCTATTTCCATTTTCAATTTTACCCCTTCAACTAGTACATTGACAATACAAGGTTCACTGATATGTCTAGTCAAAGATACGTCTTCGGCATTAGAATCGCAAATTCTCAGCCTCTTAAAATCATTTTTTTTTCCTTGTCGGGTATTTTCATCACTGCGACCATTTTTCTGATCTATTGTGATATATTCCCCATTTTTTTTTCTTTAGCTATATCAAAATGCCGTATCACTATTATTAGGAGTGATCGCCATCGTTTGACTAATAGCAAAATAAATAAAGTGCACTGCCGTACTGGGAGTTGTTCTCCAAATGTCAAAGGGTTCTATCAGCCCCTTGTCGAAGAACTTACGCCTTTTATTGAAAATTGCCGGACAGTGGCATAGCAAATGTTCCGAGTCTTCCTTTTCTATGCCACAGAAGCGACATACATCATCTTAAAGTTTTCCAATCAGCTTCAAGTGATAACGGCTCGGACAATGACCTGTTATAAGACCTGCATATATAAATACTAAGATCTTTCTTAGAAATGTTTGGATTAATAAATCGCTTCGACTGCCTAGCAATAGAAGTGTTCTTCCAGTTTTCCTCCACTTTTGAAGATTCCCACGCTTTTAGCTCCATTCTAAGAAATGCAGCCGATAAGCCACAAAAGGGCTCTGGCCCGATGAACTTATGAGAAGATCCGAGTCTTGCTAGTGCATCAGCTCTTTCATTTCCCTCAATCCCGCAATGACCAGGAACCCAATATAAGTTGACTTGATTATGACAAGACAATTTTTGAAGTGATTGAACACACTCCCAGACAAGTTTTGATGTACATTTCGCCGACTTTAAAGCATTTAGAGCAGCTTGACTGTCGGACATGACGCATATATTTGAACTCTTATAGCTTCTACGCAAACATATAATGGAACACTCTAAAATTGCTTGGATTTCAGCTTGGAACACAGTTGGCCATCTGCCCATAGGAACCGATATTTCTATCCCTGGGCCACTTACTCCTGCTCCCACTTGATTGTTCAATCTTGAACCATCTGTACTTCTCATTGCACCTGTTATTGAGAAAGTTGCTAACCTTTGGAGTTTTTCTAACTTCCTCTGAGCAACACTCTCTTTTGTTTTTGGCCACCAGACCAATGCACCACAAGTAATCCTGGGTTTCACAATTGTCGAGTAAATCCAATGGATCATTTTCGGTTTCAGTCCCCACTGTCTACCGAATGTTCTTTTGCATATCCATAGAGCATTAGTAGCTTTGTTTATTGCCTGCTCTAGGTGCATATTCCAATTAAGTTTACTATCGAGGATTACTCCAAGATATTTGACAGCAATAGGAAGTTCCAAAAGTGTGCCTTTCAATCTTATGTTGTCTAATGAAAATTTCTTCCTTCGGATAAATGGCACGATAGTAGTTTTAGAAGGATTTATGTTTAATCCTTCCCTATCACACCACGATGAGACAAAATTTAAAGCAATTTGCATTCTGTTAGCGATAATACAATCATATTTGCCACGTACAACTATGGCTATATCATCTGCGAAGCCAATTATTTCGAAGCCTTGGGCTATTAAATTTTTGAGAAGATCATCAACTATTAAAGACCACAATAGAGGTGATAACACGCCTCCTTGCGGGCATCCTTTGGTTGCTCTTACACTGATGAGTGAGCTTCCAAGGTTTGCTGATGTTTCTCTTTTTGATAACATTTCATTGATCCAATTTACAATGCTCTGATCGAATGCTTAAAATCATAGTTTTCAACTACTTCCTCTGCCTCATTTCCACAAAATTAACTGTTCTGTTTTTTAAGCTGATAACAATTTCGTTTAATATGGCCTATTTTTCTGCGAAAATTGCATATAACATTGACGTGGCGTGACGTATCTCCTCGCTGATCACGTTAGGTATTTCTCTGCCTATTTCCATAATTATTACGGTAACCATATCTGCTATCATTCCAGCGCCCTTTCTCTCGATCCATACTTCCACTGCTGTTTCTATAACTACCACCACTTACACGTATTGAAAATCTGTCTTCCCTATCATGATTTATTCTCTGGTATCCATTTTCCAAGCGATATTTAACCTAATTCACACATCTAAAATTTTCTCCTTGTTCATTCATTTCTTTCAGCCTCAGCTTAGCTAATTCAGTCCGTATTACAGTTTGCTCTTAACTTGGCAGTAGCTTTCAATGTAAGAAGCCTCTTACGAAAAGCCGTCTCTAGATGAGCCACTTAACCTGTCTTTGTTAAGTAGAACAAAACTAGAAATCCGATGCATAGCCATTCATCTCTAGTTAACGAGAATGTGAGGGTGTTCCCACCCTGTGATCAAACCTGCATGAGCAAAGAACCCTCCAAAATTGTATCCTGGCTGAAGCATTTTGTGAGGAGAGACTATGTCTACATGTTCGTCAGAATGATTTTCGTAATCCCTGTAAAATCCGAGAAAATTTGGAAGATGATACAGTGGTGTCAATAGAGCAAGCATGTTCACGGCGGATACACTGTATTTATACTTAGCTTCGAGTTGAGTTGGAGCCCATTGAACATGCAAATTTAGTATAACGAAGACAGAATAAATCGGAACCTTCTCGACTGCAATGTAACTATCCGAGATCGGTTCAGGAACTGGCTCATCGGGAACCTGAATTAGCTTACTTGCACGATTCAAGAGATCATAGACGTTGAGCGTTACATACTTAGAGCAGTTGTGAAGATCTAAAGCCCGATTCAAAGTAAAGTTGGACGCATTCAAGTGATCATAACTCAAGAATTAAACAACATACACGGTTGATCAAAACGTCAAACAAAAGGGTATTTATTCAGCTTTCAAATGATACATAACAAGTTATTACATTTCACCGTTTCGAACGAACTGTCGCACTTTATCGATGTGTGATCGATGCCATCATGATCTGCACAGGTGCTGGTGACACTGTACATACTTTAAACGCATTTGTTGTGCATTTGTCACTTCTTTACCGCATCCTCGAAGTTTTCGCTTGACAATTGCCCAATATTTTTCGATCGGTCTGGACTCAGGGCAATTCGGTGGATTAATCTCTTTGGCGATGAAATTAACATTGTTTGCAGCATACCATTCTAGTACCTCTTTAGGCTCTGAACCATTTGGTGGATTATTTTAACTTTTGGGTAAAATTTGACCGATGGAATGTAAATATTTTCACGTCATGCATTGAAGACGTGTCCTACTATTCTGCAATTCGTGTACTGTCACTAGTGTGACGACAAAATTCACGTCATGTTAGGTGACTCGCCGTGAAAATCAAATAAAGAGTCACCTCACACGACGTGACTTTTTTTTTGCCACGTCACACGACGTGACTTTTGTCACCTCACCAGTTACATTGAGTCACACTACTCGCAGAATAGGGGAGGTCCATTCTATGGTACTTTCACTCGCTCTCACTCACTCAAGTATCCTAAGCAGCTCCATTGGGTCAACGTGAAAGATTTACATCCTGGGCGACTGTTTGCTAGCGGCTTGATCTACCTGGTCTAATTGTTGGATTTCCTTATTGAGGCTCCGCCGTCGTGAGCCCTTGGCTAAGCCTCTGCTGCGATGTCCTAGTTTCCGTAGTGTGTGGCTGATCCACCTTGACTTCCGTGCTCGGATTTCTGTTGATATCGGCTTCTGATGACATCGACGATGGAGATTAGTATTCGAAATCCAGTTGTGGGTCCGGCAGGTACGAATGTTATACTCGCTAGCACAGCACAGATTACACGTTAGTTCGTTGACTAATCTGGTTTGATCTCCATATATCACCTTCGGATCCTGGGTTGAAGGACGAGTTGAGTTCGTTGAAGGTTGCAGTCGTCTCGACGTTGCACCCAGAGCTTGACCTGCTGCTAGGGTAACGTGTTCGTCGATTAATCTCTCATCAGAAAACACGCTGGCAAACATGTAAGAGAACAAGCGGTAGACCTCCTGAGAGGTGGAAACGACTTACCGTTCAATCGCATTTACGATGGTAGGCTGGACTCTATGCGCTGCTTATTTAAGTACTTGCAAAAGCACTTTGGGTGTGACTTGAGTTTACTCTGAATACCTAGTTGATATTGCAAGTAGCATCGACGGCTACCCGAGCAAAGTCGGTTAACAAAATGAAAGCAAATCGATATTAAAGTTTGCAACTCAAACAACTTAACTTGAAGTACTGCTGTTAACGTCTTGTTTAAAATTTAATTTAAGTTCATCTGTTGTTGAACTAACGATTATTGTTTATTTGTTTTGTATAACACATTTTAGGACGTTAGTGTTTTGCTCGGGATGAGATTTGATCCATTAACCATTTACACCAGGTCCGTATTCAGTTAAACAACATGAATGCAAAATCAGTAATCAAATTGATTTAATTGATAGCAGGATTAGTTTTCCGTTTGATTCAACAGTGTAACATTGTGCTCTCATTTTAGCTGTGTTAACTGGAGTATTCAATATAAGTTACATAATAACAGCAAATTATGATTTCAATTTGATCTTCTGCTTTGCTCGGGTAACTAGCTTCAACTCATAATTGATCCTAACGCAGTGGTGCTTCAGCGAAAGCGTCTGATAATTGATGAATTTCCTCAATGCGGCTCGTATAATATAACGTATCTTTGTTCTTGGCATGTTGGGCCTACCGCATCCTCCTGTCGATGACGATGATCAGACGCCTTAAACATGAAGAATAGACGCTATGTTAAGTAGTTTCTAATATGGAGAACAGAAGCCGCACCCTTAGAAGACCTTCACCGTTCCCTATCAGCATACGACCAAACTCCCACCGGTCTTGATTAGCTAATCTTTCCTATGACTATCCGTACCGCAACGGGCACCGCGGCGTGGTAGGGATAGGACTTAGTGGGCAAGAGATAGGACCAGCCAATTTTATACACGCAGGTACGCGTAGCAGCTTAGGAATAATTTGATTGCCATCGAACAGCGATAAACGCCTCGAAAGCGCACCTATCTGACGACCCACGTGGCGTTTTTTTCTGCTGATTTACAGATCTGTTCTGAAATACCATCGATTCTATGTCAACCCAACATCCGGAACTCTGCGGAATCGCAAGTAAAGTGTTGCTTATTGTATACACCTTAAATTTAATCAGTTTGCTTTCTTCGACAAAGATGTTTATGAATTTGTTTAGAATCTGTATACGAACTGAAGATTCGGATTATTTTTGTATACAGCACTAAGTGTCTTAGGTAGGTTTTCATTCCGAATACGACAGGGTGAAGGAATAGAAGCAGAAGCTTTAGGTAGGATTAAAGAACATTTTTGAAATTCGATCAACCAAAATATGAACAGTTGCTGACTGTAATTCATCAAAATCGGTGATCCATCAGCCCATTTCGTTTTATATGAAAACTACAAGCTTACTTTCCAACAACCAACGACATTGTAGTACCGTACATCAACACTATAAGGTTGACATAAAGCTAATATTGTGCTGATTAGCAGTTATAATTACTGAATGCCTGTTTGAATAAACAATGTTGTTATTATTTTCAATAGACCTTTCTCGTTTTGATACACCTCAAAATTTGATATTTTTTCCAAGCGGATTTTGGATCTTCGAGTGAAACGGAGTTTTAGAATAAACCATTTTGTGGGGTTTTAAAGTTTAAATCTACAACTAATGCACATAATTCACCGAACCGTTTCTGGATCATGATTAGTTGATAAATAATTGTGTGCATCAAATGCTGAAAATAACTCCACATATTGAAAAATTGTGCAACTTTTGTGTTGCACTGAAAAGGTCTTTGTTTTGATGCAAAAATCACTTTTAACTTTTACTTTTATTTAAAAATCTTCTAAAAAACAAATTAACAAAACAAAATGTAAGGGTGTTCCAGATCAAAAGAGGTATTCAGGTCGGTCTCGATTATCCGCGGTGGATTTTTTTTTCACTTCATCATCGATTTCTCGCACACAAAGTAGTACCACCATCGGACAGAGAAGACAATGCCTATTCTATTGGTAATGTTGATTTAAATGATTGAGTTTGTGTTTGCGATAATCGAGATCAACTCCGGATAATCGAGTCCTACTTGTATCGCCAAGAATAAAATATTTTCAGTCGCCAATTGTACGGCAATTCGAATACCGAATGCATTGTGGACTGACCAGATATTTTGAAATATCACTACCTAATTACTTTCTCGAAACTATCTCCACAGTACTCTCGAGAGCCGCACTGCCGTACAACAGCTGCGTCAGCAGCACTCCGGTGCTGATAGAAAACGTGAACAGACAGTAGCCAGAAAATGCTGCACCAATTTGTATAGAAAACCAACTAAAATGCTTTCAATGTAGTAGAAACAATGTGACAATTCACTTTCGATGAAAATTATATCAAGTTGTTGTAGCGAATTGATAATCTCTCCTACACGTATTGGATAGGTGTTTTTAACCAGCATAGCATATTTGAACCACGAGACTACGACTAAAACCAATGCTAGGCAATACTTCGAGGAAACGTACTACTAGGTATCTTTATGTCGTCTCAACACCCCAGTAAGATGTAGTGAAATGGAAGAAGATACACACTGCCATAACAATGAATTTAGTTTTCCCGTGTGACATACCAAACTAAATAGACAAAACCGATCGATAGCCAATTTTCCGGAAATGTTTAACACACTTTTTCATCCATAGATAAATCGAAGTGTATAACCTTTATAATTGTTTTCCAATCTTCTACTAACCGAGAGAATATAACTACTTTTATAATAGTTAAAGAATGATTAATAGACGACCAGCGCAGCAATGAATGTGTTTTCCCGTGTGCCAATCTCTAGCGAAATTTCATCCCAGTTGTGTTCGGGTGCAGCGGGAAAAATGTCCTTGCAGTAGGATTTTGCCTTGATTACCAACAAAACCACACTACAGACAGCTAAACCCTGATTTTCAACACGCCTAAAAGCAACTTCGTTGGAAACGACATATGTGGCAGCACCTCATTAAAATTTAAGCAATCTATTCTCCAGCTACTTCTCCACATATTTCCAATATTTCAAAATAAAACATCTCTTAACGTGTTTCCACAAGTTGCATCATATGTCGTTTTCAACATAATACAAACCAATAATAAAGATCACGATTCACAAATCCCAACCCACAAAACCCTTACGTGCATACTAGTCAGCTAAAATAAATAGCAAAAATAGCGATTGAAATGATCGGACGATGATTGATTCAGATATGTGCCGATTGTAGACAGAAAAAAAAGCAAAAACAGGATTTCTCAAAAAAAAAAAAAACGTGTACATAAAAAGATTTAAAGAGTTTGAGTAATGAAAGAGAATTAAAGAAGAAAAAAAAATGCAATAACAAAAACTCCAATAACAATTGTCACCACAACATTAAACTAATGTAACAGTGTAGAAAACATTGAAAAGAAGCACTAAGACGTCCGATCTCTGGTGTACTGATTGAAGAATACAAAATGTATATCAATCATTTTTTAGGCGGTGATATGCAACACAAACACAAAAACACATACACCTACACAACATACTTCCGAAATGGCAAGTTGTAAGAGCAAGATGTAGAATAGATGGTATAGAATTGAGCATACACACAACACACCCACATACACTAACACTGTGAAATCGTAACATAAATACGAAAAAAAAAGATCAAGGTAGCGTTAATCATTACTGTTTCTTTTCATTATTTTACTGATCAGTCAGAATAACAACGGAAAGCATAACGATTGTACCGAAGATTTACAAAAAAAGGAAAAACATAATTAGTAGTAGCAAGAAACAATGAACGTTGAACTACATGAAAAAAAAAAATGAAAAATACTAAAAACATATACACATGCTATATATTTATACAACCTTTTTTCAGCATAATGAAAAATATTTAACGAATAAACAACACGGGGAACCGAACGTTCCCTCTTAGATGTTCAGTTAATGATGAAAAATAATAAAAATAATGCATTTTTGAATGGTGGACATCGAAAGAAACTCCTGACTAAGGTAGTTACTACCGTACAAGCACCCCCAGACAATTGTAATTGTAATTATTCAGTGTATAGGCTGTGCCAACCGCTAAGTTGGCTTATCTAGGGACTAACCCCCTAGTCTATACCAGGCTTCCGGAAATCTCACGTGTACACAAATGCGACAGCGAGCTGTGAGACGGAGCGTCGCATGACTCAAATCCATGGTGTGCTACATTAATTGTACAAAAGAGAGACTAGAACGATGCGCGCGACAAGCTACACGCTCTCAACAAATTCGAGCGTTTCAATTTTTTTTTTGTCTCATCGCATTGCTCTCTCAATGCGACGCATGTATTCAATCACATGGGACTGTTTCATTGAAACATCTCAATGCGCTCTCTCAGGGCGTCATCGCCGTGCGCTGTTTCGCATGCCTTGACTCTCGCGGTCCCATCATATGTGATGTTGTCGGGTGACGAGAGAAGGGACTGCAAGGGTTTGTTCACAGAAGACTTGTGTGCCCTTTTCACATGTGGCTTTTGAAATGGGGTGAAGTTTTTAGATGGTTCCAGAAATATCTTCTAATATAGATTCAAGCAGGCTCAACACATGGTTCCAGAGATATACTGGAATCACCGTAAGATCACCTAGGAAGCCGCAATTGCTTGTCGAAAGGATGCTAAAGGAAAGTAAAGGAAGACTACGTGAGCGGTGGATGGCAACCTTACGGTAGTTGGGATACCGTTAGCATGTTAGCACCCCAAATAATACCGGAGTATCTCAGTGACCATAATAAAAAAAAAACCCCGGAGTATCTCTGGAACCATGTGTCCTTCAACAAGTCCTTATGCGGAAATCTTCTAAAATACATTTTTTGAAGCCTCTGAAGCTTTCAGCCCATTTGTTGGAAAAATAAACAAGTTATTGCGCATTTCCACCAAATTAGACTGCCGCGCTAAAAAAATCCCTCAGAATACTTTTACTCAGACCAGTAAAAAAAATAAATGGACGATTTTGAATGTAAAATAGCACTATATTATACTATACAAGATCATATCAGCGTTAAGTCAGAAGGGACTAAGTAGCTAAATAAAAACAAAAAAATCATCTTTACAAATAAGATCAAGAATTCCCTTAGCTACATTTCACTTTTTCAGCCAGATTTGAAAAATTAGAGTAGTGAGAGAAAACGGTCAAATTATTTGTCCCATTACATAAGACACAATATTGAACAGCCAACTTTAAATTTGTTTTTCACGAAATCAAAAAAAATCTCACAGTTCGGTCTGACTTGACCGATCATATCAACACGCTTGTAATGATAGAACTCTAAAGATTAATATGTATTTGTATTTTGTCTGGCTTGAGTGAACACTATATTAAGGGATTATTTTCAACGCAGAAGTGTACTTTGCTGCAAAAACGTTGGTGGTGACTTCTGATTACATGCACACAACTCTGCACTTAAAAATTAACCAAGTTTAACATGTTGTAAATTTGTTCTGTTATGATCAATAGAGCTGAAATTTTGACTAAACCCTTGCTTTTCCATTGACCTTTGTCCGATCAGCTATGCACAAATTTTAATTTTATTGTCACCTTCCAGCAGGTGCTTCAAAAAATTTGGTATTTCTTACACGTGAAATTCAACATATTTGTAGTTTTGCGTCAACATTTCAGCTCAATTGATCATAACAGAATACATTTACAACATGTTAAACTTGGCTAGTTTGTATGAAAACGACCTTTGTCCGATCAACTTTGCACCACAGTGTACGTAGGTACGAAATGCTGGATTAAGGTTAATGTAATAAATTTAGGAAAAAGTTGTGTCATATCTGTATTACGGATTGTTGCTAAGCTTCTTGCTTCAGGAATTGTATTGAATACCTGCCAATCAACAAAACTTACTACGGCAGCATCTGAATTCTTCAGATGTGTTAGTGCTCACAGGATAGTTCATACCAGCCACCATGATGCTGAATTGAAACAATCAATTTGCGACAACAGATTTCCAAAAAGTCCTAGTGTTAGTACCGTGGACCCTCGGTTAAATTGAAAAAAAAAACATATTAACGAGCAAATAAACCACAACTTGATTTTACATTTCGCTTACCATAGCCACATCTCTTCCTTCGTTCGTTATGAATGGGCTGTTTTTCAAGTTAATCCTTTAGTCAACGAAAATTTCCGCTAGAAAAACTTTGTTGGTCATAGCCATCTGACACCTCTTCTCCATGTTCGATAAGAGTGTAGTAGCTAGGTCGCTTTCCATCGTTTTCAAAACAAAACAACACTTTTCCCACATCAAGAACACGAGTTGGTCTTCCAGTTGAGTTTGTTATTTCGATGTTCGCATTGAGACGTCGCTTAGCGACGTCTCATTGAGAAAAGCGCATGAGCTTCGCCTCACGCGACGTCGCATGATACTCGTTCTCATGAAACGCATACATCCGGAAATGTGCTGTGCTTACAAAACAGTGCGACACACAGACATTATGAGAATGTGAGATGCGACAAAACTGAAGAGAGAGAAACAGATTGCTACAAATCTCTTGCGCATGAGACTGCTATGACCTGGGACTATGACTATGCGACTATTCGTAATGCGTCTCGCATACGGTAGCGCGCGCACTGGAAGCCTGGGTCAGACACACATGGGTGGTCGTATCCGGGTCCTCCCCTGGGTAGGCTCGTGTCCGTCCAGGTTCTGGTACATTTACTTATATCTATGCATAGTAATTATACTTTGCAACTCACCTTTTGATTATAAATGTCGATAATGCTGAAACTATATGAATGTTAGTGATCATTATTAGGTGTGTGCTGCAATGGAGTAATAATTGAAGAAAATGAGGTTCTCATGTGGCTTATAGGTAATTCTAAAATAGGTAAATCATGCAAGCACACACCGTTTACAATTCTTATCCTACTTACCAGTTCCATCCAGTATAAATTGGCTGTTTCCAAATGGCCTAATCCTTTCTGACTGCTTACTCTCTTACGTTTTCTCGCTTTTTTCCTTCTTCCTATTGAAAATCTGGCCGTGTTCCCATTTGTTCTCAGGTAGGTTATATTGGTACATGAGGGGAAGAAAGAAATAGAACAAGTTAAGTGTGAGTTGCATGCGTTGGTTAGTCGTTTGGGTCATGGTGTTGTGTTCCCTATTTTATTTGCCTCTATTCAGCTCTCAGATCGCCCCCTCCCCCCAAACTATTGCGGATGAGAAAAAGAACCCATATTTGGTAACCTCTCACGAGCTGCAATGCATAAGATATGAATAACAAACAAATCTAGAACGGGGCTTAAACATATAACATTTTCTAAGACTGAACATGATTAATATAGTATGAATAATTAGAATCGTATGAAGAAAAGACGATCCCAAAAGAAAGTTCCCTAGCAATAAAACTATTATTCTGTGCCAGTGATGCAAAATTTCATGACACTCACGGGACACTCGTCTTCGCATCAACCGACTATCGCTGACAGATCGTTTTGTCACGCAGTGAGAGTTAGAGCCATGGCAAATAACAATCACCAGAAATGGTCGCTGCTCACAAGCAAAACGTTACACTCGCTGCTGATGATGAAAAGCACAACGAAAACTGTGAAGACTTCTGCAGTACGATCATGAGGAAAAGCGAAACGACAGAAGAAAATGAAAACAATGCTTACGCATTCCAAGTTCGTCTCTGCAGGTGTGAATGTGTGAGTTACAAACAAAGCAGGCACTATGATACGAAAGCTGTTGGGTTAACTCACCAACACACTCACATAAGCAAGCAAAGCAGCAACTGCTTCAAAACGAGCACAGATGAGTGTCGTGATTGTCGGGAATGACCAGATCGGTGATTGATCACATCAGAAGATGACATTCACCAGTTGCTTTTTACTTCTTTCGTCAACTTGATGGATGGTCATGGAGAGAGCTTCGACGAGCACATTGATAGGAATGTACAAAGCGTTACTACCAACAATCAATACGAAACTAACGATTTTAAATTGGCTCACCACTTTAGTAGCCTATTGGTCCCAAGCAAACGATTAACGTACCCTATTCTAGTTGAAATTCTATTACTACACTATGTTTGTTTTGATTCGCTATGAAAGTTTTACAGATAACATCAGGGGTGTGTGGATTCATGCAGAACATGCAGGGGTGAGTGAAATAGCTTGGGACTGCTTGGGACAGTTGTTCTGGTACTGAGTGAGCCAAAAATAATAATGATTTTCTTCGGGACCCAGTGGTCTTAGAGTTACCTCTATGTTACTACCATCAGTTGTTTGGCGATAGTGATTGTGAAAGGTCGCAACTCTGCTCTGTGTAAATCACAACAGCTAAACTACTCGGTAAGATTTTGGCATTTCTATTTAATTGTATTAAGCTATCTCACAGAGACCAGATGTCCAAGTTCGGTCAGAAACTTGTGTAAAGTTAAGTGGAAACGTTGCCGTTACGTAGCGCTAGCATCTCCTGATTTCCTCTATAAATTTATCACTTTCGACCAATTTGGCGCTAGTACCGATAAATTACCTACTGAAAATTGCCACTTGGCGCTACCAAAACTTAGTGTCTAGTGTAAGTTTTGCAACGCCAGCGCCATCATGTTGTCAAAGAGGGTTTTTAAGTGGGGAAGTTGCCGTTAGTGGGGCTTAAGTCGAATAGGAATCTTTACACAAGTTTTTAGAGAAATTTTGGAGTCTCAACGTCTTTTTTCTGTGGCTATCTTATATCGAGCTCTTTTCAATAATTGCAACATGTGGATAATGCAGAACAAGTTTAAAATTGTTCTAGTGCCAAATTGGTTTTGAAGGAAGGTCAAACTACAAACGAACAGCTCAGCCGCTCCACAGAGAACAGACATGGATGGAGGCTCGAACAAAATTTCTCTAAAAACTTGTGTAAAGATTCCTATTCGACTTAAGCGCCACTAACGGCGAATTCCCCACTTTCCATTTGCTGACCGTATTCTGATATCTTTTGCTTACTCTGTTTCAAGCTAAGCATTTCTTTCTCTACTGCCTTCGGCGTAAGTTTGACTGCAAACTTAGCTTTCAAAGCAGTGGATGCTTGAGCAACTGTTGCGGCACCATTTATCGCTCCGTGAGCTGGGCCAATTAATCGAGTTTTTGCAAATTCAATTACCGCCAGTTCAGGAACTCTTGGAAAATATGATCTAAGTAGTTCCAATGTTTCAATGGTCATCTTGGGTGCCGTACTTTCAATTTGCCTACAACACAACCTGCCATACAGAAACCGATAACACACCTTATGAGTTAGTTTTTGGAAAACAATGCATATTACCTTCAAATCTAACAGATTCCAACAGTGTAGATCCTATCAACAACATAGACGATTACATTAAACTTTTAAAGTATAAATTACAAACGATCCAATTAGAAGTCAGAAATAAACTATTTGCTTCAAAGCCCAAAAGAACAATGAATTACAATATAAATAAAGAAAATTATGTTTATCAACCAGGAGAACTTATCTTAATCAAAAACGAAACAGGATCAAAGCTAGAAAATAAATACCTTGGACCATACTCAGTTAATTGTGACAAAGATCCTAATGTAGAAGTAAATATTAACAGTAAAACTGAACTGATTCATAAGGATAGGGTCAGAAGATATATTCAAGAATAGAACGTGTGGTGGATGTAAGTAAGGTAAATAAATAAGAATTTCATCGTAAAAAAATGGAACGTACACAAACAAAAAACGAATATTTAGATAGATCAATTTTAAAATTTTCAACTGAAGATAAATTTTTTAAAAATTATAAATAGGGCGTGTGGTGGATGGCGGTCTCACTTACCATCCATGGGAAGCGATCAAACTTTGCGTTCCCATAAACCACGAGGAATGAATGTTTTTGCTGACTTGGATTATTATGTGGAACGCCGTCGCCACATGTTATCGTCCACTGAAGTCGTCATTGTATCGTTTAGCTAACATAAGCAAAAATTGTTTCGATGCATGGTACAGAACTGTATGGAAGAGAAATAAAAATTATTCTACCCACAACCGTCACAGTGTACAGTTCAATTCAACCGAACGATCCTGGAGGTCCAAGGACATCATTTCAGAATATTATGAGGCCGATGAAATTCATATGAAAAATCATATAAAATTAACGTGATCGCATAAATGTTATGTGAAATTCAGATGAATTCCATTAATTTTGTTTATGGATGAAAATCATTTGCGTATCCAATGGAAGCTACATGAAAACTATTTTCGGTGTATGATTATCTTAAATAAATGAAAGTAAATTTGGATGGATGTTTTTGTATCACATACAATGATAGAAGAGCAATAGTTTGTATCGCTTAACTCGATTTGTTTACATTTGTTACTTAGGACCTTTTGAAAAGGGACGCGAGTATTCTTCGATTTGATCGTCTACTCCGATGGTGAGTCACCCCCCGATCTCACTCCGACAATCGATCCTCATTTCTAACGCATTCCTTGTGATTCAGTTTCCACATGTTCCAAACTGCTCCGTTTTCTGAAAAGTATGCAACTGTCATGTCGACAGTCAATCAACTTTTTTCTTTTGTGTTCTCTGTTTAATGACTCTCTCCGTGACTGTTCCTCGAACGAAAAAATAGTGACAAAAATGCGAAAAACATACACACAATAATCATTTATCGGTGCGAAATAAGATTCCAGATTTCTCTAATTCCGTGCAAAAAGTGGCAGTACCGTAATTGGTGCCATCGGACGTTCCTGACAAGTGGAGGTAATTTTGGAATGTGAGTTTGTTTTTCTTGTATTTTTATAATGCACTTCTACAACGTAGCAGCAAAATTGCACAATTTTATTGTTTTTCTTTTCCCGTGGCAGAAAACTTAACTGACGGATTCCTTCAGACGAAAATCGGGCAAGGAAACCACTCTGGCCACGATGGACCAGCAAAATCTCTTCACCAGTGTGGAAGAGGAATGTCTATACTGGAAGGAGAGGTGCTTGAAAATCAGTCAGGAGAGAAATGACGTCCAAAGGGAATTCGACGACTTCACGGAAGAGTCACGGCAACTGGAAGCTGAACTGGAAATGACCGTGGAACAGCAGGAGAAAAAGATTCGTGACCTAAATCAGCTGGTAAGTCAACTTCGGATTGAGTGCGAATCATACAAGCGAAAAGTTGCAAACAGTGAAAATGAATCGAACAAGATCGATGCTGACTACAAACAGCTGGTGAAGGAGAATGAGAAATTCAAGGTTTACATCCGTGAACTGGAGCAAAAGAACGATGATTTAGAACGAGCCAACCGGGTGGCAAGCGAAAGCGTTGTTGAATTTGAATCGATGTTAAATCAGGCTTATGAGAAGAATGCTCTTCTGGAACTGGAAGTAGACGAAAAAGAACGCATGCAAATCAAGTTACAGCGACTGATGGACGAAGCACGAGATTTAAAGCAAGAGCTCAAAGTAAGACATGTTCCTAAGAGCGAAGAGGATGCTGAAATGACCGATACCCACACGGACGGTATATCGGATGAAAAGACTCAAGAGGCCTCCAGCGAACCTAGGCCTGGTACGCCCAACATAAACACCACCGTAAACGTGTGCCTCAATAGCACTAAGCTGGAAAATATAAATAATAACATCAATTGCAAAAAGACAGACACCACCGTTGTAGCCCTTACAAAATCAACCAGCAAACTTGACTTGGAATCCACTCTAGGTTCCATGGACAACGTAGTTCCCCCAACCGAAGATAGTACGCTGCAGCAAAAGTTGATCATAGAGCGAAACGGTAATATCAACAGCAGTTCTGCTCTGGTGGCAAGCGTCTTGAATGCACCAATGGCTCCAAGTGATCGAGTTTCCACCCTTAGCATTGTAGCAGACCTTCTCCGACGATTGGACAATATGGAAGCTAAATTAAAGGCTTGGAAAATTCGTAAACCATCTTCTCGCACCAACCTAGCCTCGAGCGGAAGTCATCGGCACAGCCATAGTCAGCTTAATAACCACAGTTTGCATCATTCCCACCAGTACGGTGTTGCAGCTACAGTTGGCGGAGGAGCAGGTGGGTTGGTTGGTTCTGGGGCACCTGCCGATAGCAGCGTTTCGTTAAATTCCCTTGGCAGTGGCGACAGCTGCTGTAACGTTCAGCTTCACTCGTACCAGCCAGGAATGGCCACAATCGGAACGCAGACCTCCTCCCATCAACAACAGCAGATTCCACAACCTATGACAAAAGCGGAGCTGCGAACTAACAAATAAGCTTCAAATCCCTCTTTTACTCTTATGCGTATACATTATATTTTTTAATTAAATTATTTAATTTAATGGCTAATATTTTTTATGATACGTTTCTATAATGTGTGTTTGTACATAGGTGTAACCAAGGATTAGGCAGAGGGATATGATATTGTATAAGACGAAAAGCAAACGCATACAGATTCATGTAGAAATATCATGTTTTGTTTTGAAACGTTGATCGAATTCAAAATACGTCTGTTTAAATTGACCGTTCTAAACTAAGTAGCAGTGTCCCGATTTAAATTGGCTATGCTGAATTCTATTTTCTAGGATTAGCATTCGTCTATATTTTTCGAAAGACTTTAAGAGACCCAACAAATTGTAATCTACAGAGGTATAAACAAATTTAGACAAGATTTAAAAAATGCACTTCTCTGAATGTATGCTTCGTACGCAGTCACAACAATATTTCAAACGAAGTCGCTGTCAAACAAAAAAAAACTATTACCTACTACCTACTACAACAATAGCACACTAGCAATCTATAGCTTTCAGTTGCAGCTTCTCTGGAATATAAGAAAATAAAATAGCAATGCTGAGTGCAAACAGATACCTATAGTAGTAAATGAAGAAATAATGCAAAAAAAAGTCCCTTTATTACATGTTTTCTAATGCAGCACTAGAAAACATGGTTTGGAAATAAATAAAATCGAGCTAATGGTATTAGCAGTCTAGCTGACTTGCTAAAATGACAGTGTAACCAGAAAGAAATGTTAAATAAAAATATTTATTGGAAGTACATTCTAACCAGTAACATTTGTATTAATTATTTTCATTTCTCCACACCCCTGAATTTTTCAATTCGTATTTCTACACGTTATGGAAAATTTGTTATACAGTGAAGGCATAAATGCGGAAAAACGCTGCTTATACACATAAATATTTCTTTTGCCTTCTTAATAACCCCATTTAATTGGTACCATCTCTGCTCACACCCTAATTTATGTATGGTGAGACCTGACCCTTCTTACGGCATTAAATTCCGACTGAATTTCTCAAATCTGCATTCACTGCCCTGTGTGGCATAACAGTCGCATTAGCATTTTTGGCAAAAATTAATTATACATTGGAATCGATTGTCACTTTACACTTTACAATGTACCCAAAAAAGTATCCTAGAAAATGTCCAAAACTACGTTGTCTCATCAATAAGTGCCCATGGTGAAAAATAAATTCAACGCCGTTTTTCTCAGCTCCTTTTAGTCAGGGAAGAGAAGTAAAATAATTTCTGGATGAAATGTGGGTCTGTGTCTGAATTTTCACGCGATTTGGTTTTAGCTCATGGCAGATTTTGTTCAGGAAGCCCTCGGAACATATCCGGTTGTGTCCAATTACTTGGGCACTTGATACACTAAATCTAGGTAGATTCCGATTCTGCACGTTGTAGTTTAATTTTTATACCTATGATCTTGACAAGTTTACCTATGGGATGAGTAGGGGAGGATGGTATACAACGCATCCCCTGGGCAGAACGCACCAGCTGACTTTCATTTGTGTTTTTCATGGCTTTTTCATAACTTTTTTGTTGTCTTATCAAGCAGCACTTCTAGCATAGCATCTGAACTCAAAATGCTGCATGATAAATCCTAGAATTGGATTAAAAATTCCAAGAAAAACTCAAAATAAAATGAAAAAGTGCGTCTTACCCCGGGGGTGCGTTATGTACTGTTCTCTCCTACTTAAGGGGGTTAGATTTTGATAAGTGTCGTGGATACATGTGAAGATAACCTGTTTTTGCTGTTATTATAAATAGGTAAATTTGCACCACAGTTAGCTTTCAATCGATAATTATAACTCGTATAATCCTCATGGAAAAAGATGATAGGAAAAAACGAATTTAATTATTTGAAATTTTTTTGACGTAGGACTACGTCTGTGATTTATACACTTTAAAAAAACGAAAATGGAACATGTAACAAAATCATGAAAGATTTTGAACATTTATAACTCAGCTGCCCTAATACCTTATCATTTTTCAAAATGTCACTGTTGAAAATTGCACGAATGTGCAATTGTTGCTTTGATAATTAAAATTATCACCGATTGCCTGCAAAAGGCGATTTCCCTAACACAGATTTCAAAGTTGAATTCCATCCGGTCTCACCAAGCGGTGTTTATTCAATCACCGCGTGGTGAGTGGTGGTGTTCTCCAGTACACAACGAAAGGCTCCGCGCTAGCAGCTAGTTACCAAGGCTAGCCTCAATCGCTGATCGGATTCAGTTCCAATCACCGTGTGTGGGGGTGTCCGGTCGTCAACATCAGCTGCAGCAGCTGTGCTTTCGGTGTGTGGCGTTGAACATTATTCTCCAGTAGCCAACGAAAGACTGCCTGCAAGCAGTGAGTTGTAGCCCATATGAGCATCCATAGAAGGAGGAAGAAGCCGCACCGCTATTGATCGGAATCAGTAACTCTTCGTGAGTTGCTTTGAGCCATCTGTACCAAGCGCGTCACCCTTTTGAATAATGTTTTTTGGAAATGGACGTTACAAGTAATGGATTGTTAAGAACCATTACAATTCGAAATTATTATTTTCTCCAAACATTTTCGTAAAGAGAACTATATTAGAACCTTTTAACGTATGGTTTGAGAACTTTAAAGGAAATGGTTATGGTAGTCAGTAAGGTCCATGGATGGTTTTGTATTGTCGGTCAACTTTACGTGTTCTTACGATGTTCTGAGGCATAACATCTCTGATCACGCCTTCCTTCGGATGGGAAGTAAAGCCGTTGGTGCCCGGTTCATGAGTTGATGGGTCGATAGGTAGGGTCCAGGTGTGAGAGCTGCCTTCCTGGCACGTCGATAGCATTGGTGCTCAGCACGGAAAACAAGATCGACGGAAAAAACAAATCAAAGGAAAAAAAAATATAATTCATTTTCCGAAAATGTATGGAGAAAACAAGAATTTGGCATGGTAATGGTTTGTAAGGTCCACTTAAAAAAAACATAATACATGATGTTAAAACTTTATCACACAAACGTTCATGTAAAGTTCCTTAACCATTCCAGTTAAAGTTTAGCAGGGATTATAATATATTTTTAACCTTTTTTTAATAAGGTCAATGTAATGGTTCGCATTTATCCGCGCGCCCACATAAATCAATATCACCATCCGGTAGGGTAAGACTTCCTCTACCCGACGGTAATTTTAGTTTGCATGAACGTGCCTTGAATTCCTAAAATTCATCGAGAAGAAGTCATTGTTTACAAAAGCTTTTACGCCTAATTCCAGCTCTATCTAGATATGTTTAAATCTAACATACCATGTAACCCCAAGGTAACATTGGGGGTGCAATTTAAAAAACCAAAATCGGTCGTGGGATGAAAGTGGTCTTATTTTGATCCAGAGATGATGAATTTTAATTCTCAATACGCCAATCGATAGGAATGTTTTCTATGAATCTGTTAAAATTAAGACTTTATCATTTTTCAAAATGTCACTATTGAAAATTTAACGAATGTGCAACTGTTGTTATGATAATTAAAATTATCACCGATTGCCTGTGAAAATCGATTTCCCTAACACAGATTTCAAAGTTGAATTTCAAACGATGTTTATTCAATCACCGCGTGGTGAGTGATGGTGTTCTCCAGTACACAACGAAAGGCTGCCTGCAAGCAGCGAGCTGCAGCCCACATGAGCATCCATAGAAGGAGGAAGAAGCCGCACCGCTATTGATCGGAATCAGTAACTCTTCGTGAGTTGCTTTGAGCCATCTGTACCAAGCGCGTCACCCTTTTGAATAATGTTTTTTGGAAATGGACGTTACAAGTAATGGATTGTTAAGAACCATTACAATTCGAAATTATTATTTTCTCCAAACATTTTCGTAAAGAGAACTATATTAGAACCTTTTAACGTATGGTTTGAGAACTTTAAAGGAAATGGTTATGGTAGTCAGTAAGGTCCATGGATGGTTTTGTATTGTCGGTCAACTTTACGTGTTCTTACGATGTTCTGAGGCATAACATCTCTGATCACGCCTTCCTTCGGATGGGAAGTAAAGCCGTTGGTGCCCGGTTCATGAGTTGATGGGTCGATAGGTAGGGTCCAGGTGTGGGAGCTGCCTTCCTGGCACGTCGATAGCATTGGTGCTCAGCACGGAAAACAAGATCGACGGAAAAAACAAATCAAAGGAAAAAAAAATATAATTCATTTTCCGAAAATGTATGGAGAAAACAAGAATTTGGCATGGTAATGGTTTGTAAGGTCCACTTAAAAAAAACATAATACATGATGTTAAAACTTTATCACACAAACGTTCATGTAAAGTTCCTTAACCATTCCAGTTAAAGTTTAGCAGGGATTATAATATATTTTTAACCTTTTTTTAATAAGGTCAATGTAATGGTTCGCATTTATCCGCGCGCCCACATAAATCAATATCACCATCCGGTAGGGTAAGACTTCCTCTACCCGACGGTAATTTTAGTTTGCATGAACGTGCCTTGAATTCCTAAAATTCATCGAGAAGAAGTCATTGTTTACAAAAGCTTTTACGCCTAATTCCAGCTCTATCTAGATATGTTTAAATCTAACATACCATGTAACCCCAAGGTAACATTGGGGGTGCAATTTAAAAAACCAAAATCGGTCGTGGGATGAAAGTGGTCTTATTTTGATCCAGAGATGATGAATTTTAATTCTCAATACGCCAATCGATAGGAATGTTTTCTATGAATCTGTTAAAATTAAGACTTTATCATTTTTCAAAATGTCACTATTGAAAATTTAACGAATGTGCAACTGTTGTTATGATAATTAAAATTATCACCGATTGCCTGTGAAAATCGATTTCCCTAACACAGATTTCAAAGTTGAATTTCAAACGATGTTTATTCAATCACCGCGTGGTGAGTGATGGTGTTCTCCAGTACACAACGAAAGGCTGCCTGCAAGCAGCGAGCTGCAGCCCACATGAGCATCCATAGAAGGAGGAAGCAGCCGCACCGCTATTGATCGGAATCAGTAGCTCTTCGTGAGTTGCTGTGGGCCATCTATATGTCAAGCGCGTCATACTAATGAGTATAAACAGAGAGAACCCCGCTCAAATTCCTATTCCTACACAAAACACTAGCTCCTGCTGCAGTTAACAAATGAGATTTATTATATAAGACCACGTAGTCCTGCGTCACCATTGCGCACAACCCTTGTAGCATAGAGGTAACTCTAAGACCACTGGGTCCCGAAGAAAATCATTATTATTTTTGGCTCACTCAGTACCAGAACAACGGTCCCAAGCAGTCCCAAGCTATTTCACTCACCCCTGCATGTTCTGCATGAATCCACACACCCCTGATGTTATCTGTCAAACTTTCATAGCGAATCAAAACGAACATAGTGTAGTAATAGAATTTCAACTAGAATAGGGTACGTTAATCGTTTGCTTGGGACCAATAGGCTACTAAAGTGGTGAGCCAATTTAAAATCGTTAGTTTCGTATTGATTGTTGGTAAAACCAACAATCAATACACACAAAGAAAAACCGTTGCTAAAATTAAAAATACCATTGGTAGAATTGAAAGTTTGCATTGGTTCTTTTTGGTAGAAAGCGGTTAGCTTTCAAAACAAAAATCAGCTAACTGTCAATTCAAAAGTTCCTCGCATGCTACTTTTAAAAGTTGAAACTTTCAAAACGAATTGTAGAACTGTCAAATGAAAACATGATAGTATTATAATTAAAAGTGGATTATTTTTGTATCAAATCAAACTTTTGTCATGAAAGTTTGGTAAAGTTGTAATAACATGTGCCGTTTTGAATCTATAATAAAAATATTTTCAATTAAAATACAAGCATTTTCAACATTGCAATATTAATTTTCATTTTAAATTCTAATAAATATTTATTCAATCGATAGTAACAAATGTTTCATAAATTAAAAAAGGACTACAACTATATTTATTACTACTATCCACATGAATACAAATATATTAATTATGCTGGGTTTCGGAAGACATCATCCGCAAGTTTTCAGTGAGTAGAAAATCGTTGTCATCGTATTGCGATATCACAAAGTTGCAGGTGGATTTTTTCGGCTGACTGTTGATTCTTGGGTTGATTCGGATTTATTCATTGGTAGATTTCATCGTCTGAAAAGAAATCTAAATAACTTCACACAATAACATTGATAATTAAATACTTACAATTTTAACTAATGATGTCACAATGGATTCCGTAACCGACAATCTCGCCGACAATAGTAAAAATATTGCCTGAAATATCCAGCGGATTTAATGTTGATTTTCAGTTTCATTCCACACAAGGAACATGATTTGCGACTTTTGACGTTAAGGTTAAATTTAGCGGCAAATGCTGCCAGTGCTGTCAAAAACGTTGCTATGACAAGGTATTTTTGACAGTTAAACAATTTTCATTTTAAAAATATGCGCTTTTAAAAGTACAAGTCAAAAGTGAAAAATACACTTTCAAACCAAACCAAATACTTTTGTTTTAAAAACTTTCATGGTTAAAACTATCAAAGCTGGGAAACTTTTATTTTGAAAACGCATGATTTTTATTGATAAAATTTTTGTTTTTTGTGTGTACGAAACTAACGATTTTAAATTGGCTCACTACTTGACTAGCATATTGGTCCCAAGCAAACGATTAACGTACCCCATTCTAGTCGAAATTCTAGTACTACGCAATGTTTTACGCAGAAAAAAATATTTTAAACGTAATAATATTTGACGAAAAATCAATAAGAATTTCATTTTGTTTTGGCTGCAAAAAGAAATCATTATTGTTTCAACAATCCAGTATTTTTGTTCCTCAAAACCCATGGATTGTTAAATCAAAAAGAAAATCTTTTCGAATTTACAAGAGCTTTCATGGTTTTGACGTAAGCTGTCAAATTTGGCAGCTGGGTCAACAACAAAAATATAGTTGAAGATGCTTATTTCAAATAACAGACTGTAGTGGTAATTTTTATACGATAGATGGAGTAGATGAAAGCATAGAGTTGATAGTTCCGTTAGTAGAGTACGGCAGTGTGAAGATTGTATATAGATATTAGATAAGCGAGCTAGGACAACTTTTAAGGAAGGTACAAATCGGTTTTTTCATCTCTCTTTACCAAACTCCCCCTTTGGAGAGGGATGGTGAGGGGTGTGTCCCCCCGCCACCACTGGCAAAAAGAGATGAAAACCGACCCGCTCAAGTACCAACTGTGTGTTTGAAACAGTTCTACCGATTTTTACCGCACTTCAGTTGTTATTTGAAGGAAGGCATCCAGTCGTAGGTTTGGAAATTGCAACTATTGTTTACCCCTACCACGATATGTGGTCCTGTCATCGTCGACTTTTTTTATGTATTGTTTTCTTTTTCACTGATCATCCTTCGGAAGGGAAGTAAAGCCGTTGGTCCCCGGTTAATTAGTTGATGGGTCGATATGTAGGGTCCAGGTGTGGGAGCTGCCTTCCTGGCGTCAGGAGCATTAGTACTCAGTACGGAAAACAAGATCGATGGAAACAAAAATCAAGGAAAAAAACAAAAAATTGATTATATTTAGCAACTGCAGCTCGAACTGCAGCATACTTACTTACTTCAAGTCTCAAGATTTTCGGAAATGTTGCACTTATTTCCCGAAATTCACAAGTTTTGTTATTGTTTACATTTTTGTCCGGGTGAAAACGAGGGAATGGTTGGTAGTTATTTTTGCATTCATGGCCCGGGGAATGGACACAGCAAATAAATGCCAAATTTAAATGAACTATTGTTGGCTTAATAATAGAATATTGTTGATAGGTACAGTTCGAAAGGTACAGTAGCAGCACCTACCCCACCCGTGTTCCCTCGAGATCGTCAAGTCGACGATGACAGGAGCACATATCATGGTAGGGGTAAACAATAGTTGCAATTTCCAAACCTACGACTGGATGCCTTCCTTCAAAATAACAACTGAAGTGCGGTAAAAAATCGGTAGAACTGTTTCAAACACACAGTTGGTACTTGAGCGGGTCGGTTTTCATCTCTTTTTGCCAGTGGTGGCGGGGGGACACACCCCTCACCATCCCTCTCCAAAGGGGGAGTTTGGTAAAGAGAGATGAAAAAACCGATTTGTACCTTCCTTAAAAGTTGTCCTAGCTCGCTTATCTAATATCTATATACAATCTTCACACTGCCGTACTCTACTAACGGAACTATCAACTCTATGCTTTCATCTACTCCATCTATCGTATAAAAATTACCACTACAGTCTGTTATTTGAAATTAGCATCTTCAACTATATAAATCGTTGACTTCACGTAGAAGTAATACTAAAAACATATAGTCAAAGTAATAGAATATTGTTATTTTTACAATAGTTGCAGTTGAAAAGTGGCTTATTAAAACAAAAAGAATCCTATTTTGAATTTATATGAATAAGTATTATTGAAACAACAAAATGCAATATAATTTCAACCGGAATTGTTTGTTTAAATACAACTAAAGTTTTGTTTGGTTCAATGCAAACAATTTTCTGTCCGTGTAGAGAGTGTCTAGTATAAGAGAGGAGCCAGTCCTGGTATTGCGCAAAATGAAATGTTCCAATGCTTCCATTGGAAACGCACATGATTTTTATCCAATAACAAAATTAATGATTTTTATTGAATTTCAGTAACATCCATATAGGGGAAATCACGGCTTCGGCATGACAGACTATTTTCGGCAACCCAAATTGAAACACTATTTTCACTGGATTTTCTTACGAAAACACTGAATACATGCAAACGATTCTTTATGCTTTCAGCTTCAATTTGACTATATTTTTACCACTGAGAAAAAGCAATCTAGCAAGTTTTTATTGAAATGAAACACACGCACTACAAATTGTAGCTGATTTCGAGTTGCCGATAATAGAACAGCAGATTTACATGCAGTTCAAATGGAACGGTTGCCGAAGAAAAACTGGTTGCCGACAATATTCGCTCCCACTAGAGAAGATTGGAGCTTTGTAAAAGCGTTTCAAAACAGTTTTTGACAATTCTTTCGACTGAAATTGTTAGAGCAGCTGGCAGCAATAGATTGTAAACAAACCAATACTGCATATGTGTGCGTTACTTAGAGAAAAAGGCTATAGAAAGAAGGTCGCTGCTTAGGTTGCCGAGAATACGTAAATTCCTCTACCTACCTTCTATATAATTTTTCTTATAGAATTCATCGCCCTCATAATTTTCATGGGATTTTGTGGTGAGGTTTGCAGTTGCATAGTTGCTCAAGGGACAACGGAGTACATGGGTTTACGAGTTATTCAGGGTTACGACACAATGGTTGATATAATTCGGGGTAACAGCATACAACAGACTTAGAAACCTAATAGGAAGTTTCGTTTTAAGTTCTCAACAGTAGCAAATCTCGTTGTATAGATAAATTAACATGTATTCAAGAATGTTAAGATGCAAAGCTAGGTTTCATGAATTTATACATCAACGAAGATTTATACGACTAATACCAAGACGTATGTTCGGCAATCAATTTCAATAAAATTAATCTCACAATGATCAACAGAATATGCTTCGATTTTGGCATACTTTATTTTTTTTTGTTTATATCATTATGAATCACAATCTCAAGCGGTTATTAAAATCTTTGGTTAAATATCCTTTCATCCTTAGTCTTAAGGTGGTATGCGGAGTAATATGCTCATACACCGGTTGGAATTATACCGATGTACACGCGTGCAGAGGGGGAAAAAAATCAAATTTGGTGCCAACCGCGGATCAGTGAACAAAAATAAAAATATAAAAAATGTAATTCAGTATGCGACTAGAAATAAAGAATGTGCATTTTCAATAACAAATAAAACGTGTGCGTTCGAAACAAAAGCAATCATTTTTTAAACCACCACGGCACCCGCTTCGGATCGACTAGTGGGCAAATCTGGACAATCTTTCCATTGATCATTGATGGGATCGAAACACTCAAAGGACGATATTGTTACCTGTGCACGGTAGAAGTTAATTTCGCAAGGTTGATCTCCACCTGCCACGTAGAGCAACCCATCTGCAGCAGCCACAGCGGGACTGGCCCGACTCACCGACATTGGTGCCACCATTGTCCATTTGTTATCATCGAATGAGTATCTTTCGACGGTACAAAGAACCTCTTGTTGGCTGCTATTTCCGCCGACAACGTAAAGGTAGCGATCTAGTATTGCAACACCCATCTGACAACGTGCCGTTTGCATTCGAGCCAGGGAATTCCACTCGTGTGTAACTGGATTGTAGCTGAAATCGGCAACATTGGAAAGCGTTTATGTTTATTCAATGGTTTTAGACATAATTAGTAGAAATTACCTAATCAAATCCGGTAAATGGCGGCTGGAGGTAGTGCAACCTCCAACAATGTATATGAGACCTAGAAAGTAAAGTTTAACGATTAATTTGAACAGATTAACTATAAGACAAATCGTTCACCTTCAAAACTAACAACACCCATGCTGAATCTCGGCTCTGGTAAATCACCAACCATTCTCCAAGAATTTTTCATCGGGTCATAACATTCTATAGAACCACCAATGTCCTCCCCAATCCATCTGTTGAAAAATACCAAAAAAATAAATTAACTACTGTCCTAAATGGTCCGCGATAAGTCAAACTTACCCGCCCATGGCATACAATGTGCCACCTAGAGCACACAGGCCAAACTCGCATCTCGGTACGATCATTGGCGCCATTGCTTCCCAATTATTGTTCTGAGTGTCGTATACTTCCCCGTTCGCCAAAATCTGACTGCCACGTTCGCCTCCAATAACGAAAATCTTACCGCCAAGCGTGGCGACTCCGGGTAAGATCCTTCCGATCTGCATAGGAGCCGACTCAATCCATTCTCGTCGGAATATGTCGTATTTTATCACACTTTCAAAAATACAATCAGCAGGAGTCCACCCGGCTGACTGTTCCCGTCGGGATCCTCCGATTATGTAGATGCTCTTTTTGGCACAAACTCTTGGGCATACACGAAGCGGCACCAGTTGTCCACGTTTGGAAGTCAAATCCTTTCGTACAGATCTCAGTGCTATCTTCAGTGAAACATCGCGACATTCGGCGATTGCTTGGTCAATCAGACCAACCGGAACGAGGGCCAGACGAACGTGTGACAGAATCTCAAACACATACCGCCGGCGTGGTACAACGTCGTGTTTGATCCATCGAAGAGCGGCCTTGAAAACTTGAAACTCGGTATCTACTCGAAGCGACTCGGAAGAAATCACCTTCATTAGCATCATGTGCGGAATGTCCAACAGTTCGTCCTCGAGGGCAACCTTGGGGAAATTGGTGTACACGTAGGTGGCAGCTGCTTCCGCTAGTTGACGACAGTTATGCGCTTCTGCGAAACGCAAAATTCCTAGTGCATTGGAAGAATGTAGTTCACGGCAAAGATATTCGCAACAACCGTCTACCACCTCGGGAAGTTGAATCATATCAGCAGCAGCCAGCAGCTCTTGGACATTGCTCTGAAATTAGATGATTGCATGATATGGGATTTGAAAACGGGCACGTGTTAAAAATTATAAATCGGACAACAAATTATAAAAAAAAAAACATTCACGGGAATATCTTTCACTCAACCTTCCATGTTGTACGCTTGTAGGTGGGTCCAAATTAAAAGGTTAGTAACTGTTTGCACATAAGTCAGGTCAAGATCATCGACAAAGTTGTTCTGGATAGTTTTTACAATCTAAGTCCCTGGTTTGATAAAAATTGAGCAAGTTTTGGATTTTTGACAAGCAAATGAATAGTTTTGTTTCGCTTGTCATTATTAGCGTATGAATCGAAAATCACTAGATGAGCAGATGAAGAACCTCTTCGACATTAAGGAGCTCACCATAACGATAACACCGGATGCAGTAGTCGATAAATTCCCTTGGAACTCTCTTTAGAATTTCCTCAGAATTCAATACCCCCAGAATTTCCTTTGAGTTTTCAACAGAACTCTCTTGAAATTCTTCTCAAAACTTATTTAGAATATTTACTAAAAACTATACACTCATAAAAAATCTACTTTGAATTCATACACAGGCAAAACGGGCTTCCGGATAAACCGACGCGATTGGTCAAAGTGACGATGGATCGAGTGATGTTCATTGTCCGAATTTTGGGGACACTCTCGAGTCCTTTCGAATCTCGAAGAGGGTTACGACATGGCAAAGGTCTGTCGTGTATTCTGTTTAATAATATGTATGATCCGAAGAGCCGGGATCGACACGAGTGGTACGATTTTCAGGAAGTTCGTCCAGCTTCTTGGCTCCACCGATGACATTGGCATCATTTAAATCAGACTGAATGTTGAAGCCAGGTGTCAAAGACGAAATAGATGAGAGTAAAAGGTTCTAGGGAAGATAATGTAACCCTCCCACCTCGAGTTCAGATTGAAAGTAACGAATGATAACATTTTGAATTGAGTCGAAAAAATAGACAAGTATCAGTTCGACACACCTAACACTTTAATGTTGAATTATATTTAATTACGTTACTGATGAACCCATTGTTCGCCATATGTACAGCTCAAACCAATCCAATCCCAAGCAGAGAAAAAAAAAATCAACTTTTTTCTTTCAACTCACCTGTTTGATCTCCACCTGTCCCGTATAAACGAAATCAATCAACATCTTCAGGATGTCGGCCCGAATCGAATGCAGTGTGACGGATTTTTGTTTTCCCTCGCTGAGCCCCAGCTCGGGACGGAACATTGCCTCAAAGTAAGCGGAAGCCGCACTCAGCACCGCTCGGTGGGCCTGGATCGTTGTGCTACCGACGACTATCTCCACATCGCAGAACCTCGAATTTTGCCTCAATGCATTCAGATTAAGTAGCACTTTCTGCGAGTACTGAATGCAGTTGAAGATGGGTTTTGCAGACGTCCCGGAATCGTTCGGTTGATTGATGGCCATTTGGGATTGTGTAAGCGAACAGATAATATCACTTGCATTGCCATTTCCATTGTAGCTATTCAACGGAGGCATAGCGCTACGCGGAGATGTTTGTACAAAAATGTACTTTCTGTGAAACTCTTCTTTTTTTTCACCTCAATTGCACTCAAACTGCAAGTTAAATCTCACTTAGCAGATGTTATATTGAGAACAGTGAACCATATTTTAATCTACAATAACTCGCGATTTGCTCTCGATTCCTCTGGCAATTAAAGGCAATTCGATGGAAACTGTTTCTCTTCAATGATAAACACTACACCGTCGGGTTTACGCCCTATCTCGGTGGCACTTGCGATACATATAAACTCACTGATAGGATATAACAATACTTGCTTTGTTGTATGTATTTGGATGATATCTGTAAAGAAGCTTCTAGCTTATGTACTACAGGAAGATATTTTATTTGCGATGAATGGTGATGATTAGGATGTGTATTCACCTTATGTTGTTATGCTGTCGTATTGCTCCGTTTCACCTCTCCACTTTCTCCAGCTTTGCGCAATACGAGGGAGGGAAACGGGGTGAGTGCGTCTGTCAACATTATGCTAAATCAGCTGTCAGATAGAGGGCAATTGAAAATTTATGTTGGCTGTCATATCGTTTGCTGTTGCCGTTCTCGTTTCACACAGCAAAAAATGGGGCAAACTAACCGAATACAGGTTTATCAGACATCAGACAAACACCCGCAAATACGTGAATATGCGGTTAGAAGGTGAAGCTTTTTTCTATGCCTTTATCGCCATGTGTCAAAAGTTGTCCTGATTTGTCGGTAGTAGGACACGATATGTTCCCGTTCAGTTTCACATTGCGCCAGTTTAAGACGGAAGGCCTAAAGAATTGTTACGTGGTTAGAACAAATACAATAATTATATTTTTACGAGTTCCATTGAAAAATGTACTGCTTATACATTTACCTTTAGCTTGTCTGCGTTAACACTTATTTTTTGGCAATTCCTACTGCACAACACTTTCAGCAGGAACAACATTCCTGGGGAATTCGATATGAACCGGAACTCGTCCTGGTCACTCCGCTGTACTTCGCATATTTGATTCCCAAGTCTAATGTAAGCTTTTTCTAATGTTTCATCATTTTTGTTAGGAATTATCGCAATCTCTAGTATACTTAGCAGTTTGCCAACATGCGGAACATCTTTCAATCCCCGAAGGTTGAAATAGATGTTGTGTGATGCAATAAGCGGCAGGTATTCACAATGACGAACTAAATCACCTGCCACAGTTGATAAATGGCTCTCCTGTACCGCAGCAGTGTTGGGTTCATACGAACTGGCTTCAAATAGTTCTGCTATATCGTCAAGGCTCTGAATTTTTATTGGAATATCCAGTTCGATGCTGTCATGGCAGTGGGTAATTCTAACGGACATGCTGGTTTCAATACGCGGAAAACCTAGCTTTTGGAAGCGATATTCGTCAATTGTAACCAGCAGTCGAACGGTATTGTCTGCAAGATAATTCACTTTGGCGAGAGGAATCTGCGTCACTACATTATCTATCGATAGGATCAACATCCAGTTTTTCTGATGCATCATTACCTCTTTGATACCATTTCTAAATAAAACATCTATCTGTACAAAAATGTTGCTACCATTAGATTCACCCAAAATAAGAGTGCTGTAACATCGATGTGGCAGATGTTTGTGATATTTTAAATCTGCTGCGAAGAAATTTGTATACACATTTTGATTGATGGCGCTGGTCAGAATGTCAACTTTCAGTCGCTCTTGTTCGATCGCTTTTGCCATCCTGCTTTCGACGTTTACTTCATTGGTAAGAAAACAGGTCATTTGGTTCGCCTGTGAGAGTATTTCGCTGGTTACTTCGAAGTAGTCGTTCTGCTGATTGCCATTGAAGTCCGTCAACTGAGTGATTGGAACTGAGTAGAACTGTCGATTTTCCGTTACACATATGGCCATTTCTGCAAACTGTAGATACGTGATCCCGGTAACTCCAATGATGGGGATATCCTTGGCAACGTGTTGGATAGTTTTGTTGATTTCAGAGTAATAGTACCGCATCTGTGTTATTTGGGAGCCGCTTGAGTAGAGCAAAGTACTGAGTTCAGTTATGAAAATATGGGAATCTATGGTAGGTCCCAAATGCCTACTATCCTCCTGAATCAGCAAGCTTTCAGTATCCTCCGAAATTGAATAAATGTGCATCACAGCGTTTGCTAGTAAAACGGAGAAGCACCCGGTACTCGAAGCAAAATTGAAATCCAGGATTAGGGACGGATATAGCTTAACCGTAACTATTTCATAGCTGCCGTCCAAGGTTTTCAACCAATACAGTCCATTGTCCATGGTGAATAAAATTGGTTCGGTTCCTTCCAGCAAATCCCTAAAGTTTAAAAATCTCTTGAAAAATTTGGAATTCACTCGGTCTATAACAATCGTTTTCATTTTATGAACTTGACTGTATCTGCTTGTATCGAATTCATTCTTTTCCCAAGACAGGTCGAACGATTTAAGACAATCGCCTATTTGACATCCGGACAGATCATCAAACACTTCCAGCTGTAAGGTTCGTCCACCAATCAGCCGAATCAGTAGTATTTTTTTACCACTTTCCATTGTGCTGATCGCTTTTACTCCGCTTATTCCTTCAACGGCAGTGCATTCACGAAAGGAACTAAACACTACTAATTCTCCATTGTCCTTACAACTGACGGTATTCGTGGAAGTGACAACGGTTTCCGCCAAACTACTATCGGATTCGGCCAGTTTGATACGGGAAATTTTATGAGGACTTCCGCCGGATTGGATGTTCTGTTGCAAATTTTTTATCACTAGGGTAAATATTTGCCCCTCACCGGGCACAATTAGAACCATTTTGCCGTTGTCACCGATACTGTGTAATGAGTACGGAAAAAATGCACTATCCGGTAAGGACCAATTACTTATAATTTTCACGGACATTTTTTAAACAAATAATCAAAAAGCAACAAGTCCTTTTCTTGACCTGATTTGATTGTTCTACCAAGGGTATCGTAGACTAAATTAATAAATTACAAGTCCAAATAATTCGTTACAATCGCAAACAGTGTTTGTTTTGATTTTATTGTGCTTTCGTTCGCGCGCTTGATGTGGTGTGCGAACAAAACGTCCTGGAACAAAACAGAGATTTGACATTTACTTGGCCCTAAATTTGCGCTACTTTAGCTAAAAATGACGTTTTAGGTACGTTGAACGCGAATAATATTTATAGCGTAATAATTCTGGATCAACAATAAAAAAGGGCACATCAGCATTTGTAAACAAACCGTTCCAAAGCCCATTCCTCACAAATCGAAGGCCGCCGACACAAACCAACACCATCATCGTGTAGGTAGAAGTTTCCCCTATCCGATGATAGTGTTGGTTTGCGTGGATGGCCTTCGCTTTGTGAGTAAAGGGCTTTGGAACGGTTTGTTTACAAATGCTGATGGGCCCTTTTCTATTGTTGATCCAGAATTATTGTTTACCGCGAGCTGGTTATTTTTTATTTAAATTCGTGAGATCACCGCCCAACCGTCTTCATTATCGTGTAATATCGTGAATTGGACGGTGTATTTTCAGAGCTTAATCTCAAAACGCTAACGCATATTGAAGATTCCTGGGCAACTGATGAAAAATGGCGAGAACTAAGGTAAGTCTTGGCTAAATAATTGTTGCTGTCTTAAGTTGATTAAGTCTAGTCAAAATCTTGGATTACTGATGTGAAGCTGCTACTTTCGTTCGGAAGAAACAAAGTACCTACTGCTTAAATCACTCAAAAGCGTGTTCTTTCAGGAAGGTTGTATGATAATCTTGGACGTTGGGAAGGATACTCTGATAAAAAGCGGCAACAATGAACAAACATTTTTCGAACGCGCCAAGAACTGCGTGTCGAAAATCGTCCAAAGAAAGGTAACGTTCTCGATTGTCTGCGTTGTCTGTATTAATTGTTCACATAAATTTATTTCCATTGTAGATTTTTAGCAAACCACTGGATGAAGTTGGTTTGGTGCTGATGGGTACGGAGGAAACTAACAATCAACTGAATGTTGAATACGGTGGATATCAGCATATTTCCGAGGCTTTCGAGCTGAATCCCAGCAATTGGCAGATGCTCAGGATTATGGAGAAGCAGGTCCTTCCGTCTAGTGTGAACGCTGATTGGTTCGATGCGCTGGTTGTGGCAATGAACTTTTTAAAAGTTGGTGCACAGTAAGTTATTGAAATTTTATATAATTCGAAAGTCAATACTAATGTGCAAACCTTTCGTAGAGCAAAAAAGTTTGCCTCCTTGAAAATCATTCTTGTATCGGCTCTATCGATTTCAACCAACTTGGATGTGGATCAAATGGAAGCAGTAGTCCAAAAACTCACGAACATGCCTTGCGAACTGAACGTTATCAATGATAGCGTTGAACATCAGATAGAATCTGATGATCAACCAGACGACGACGACCATTTGGCGTTTGAAGCGCTCGGCATTTTCAGTCAGATGCACCACAAGTCTAAAGAACAACAAACAAACGAGAAAATGCTATCGGATATAGTGTTCAAATCCAATGGTGCGCTTTGTAACATTGATTCTGCTGAACTGCTTCTTGTTCATTTTGAGAAAAAAGCGACTAGGGCTGCCCCATGGAACAGTATCATGTCTATTGGAACGAAGATTCAAATCAGCGTTTCTGCCTACCTCTTGATTACAGAGGAAAAGGGATTAGGATCGTTCAAAACCGTGAGCACTGATCCCAATGCCGTCGTTCAGTTGAAAACCGACTACTTCAAAAATGATAAGCAATTCGAACCGGATTATGAAAGTGTGATCAATGGCTACATGTACGGTTCGACTGTGGTACCTTATGATAGTCAAATTGATATCGATTACAAATCTGGAGAACAGCGGCTGTCCTGTTTGGGCTTCACTATGGCTGGAAATATCCTTGAAGAGTATTTGTGTGGTACCGGAACCCATGTGGTTGTTGCAAAAAAAGATTGCCAAGCATCGGAGACTAAACTATCAGCTCTCGTAAAAGCCATGATTGATCTGGACGTTGTAATGATTGCGACAAAAGTCTACAGACGTGATACTCGTCCTAAGATCAACGTCCTTATGCCAACTTATCGAAAACGTTATCCGTGCTTGATAATGTTGGAGCTGTGTTTTCAAGGTAATTCATGATTATTTATTCATTTCAAAAACCATTTCTAATGTTCGCTTCAATTTTCGCAGAGGAAGTCGCCTTACTGAAGTTCCCTCCACTCCTCTCTAACAAACACAAACCAACCGACGCCCAGTATGAGGCCATGGAAAAACTGATCGACTCCATGGATCTGATGGATGCATTGGATGACGACACCGGTTCCAAAGAAGCCTTCGCCCTACATAAAACATTAAATCCAATCCATCAACACGTGTTCAGAACGGTGGCGCATCGAGCTTTGCATCCCAAAGCGCCTATTCCGACCATGGATGAAAAGCTAAAAAAGCTCGTAGACGTGCCGCCCAAGGTACGGGAGAGATCCAAACCTGTTTTGGAGGAAGTCAAAAACCTGTTTCCTTTGAAAGAAATCAAAATCAATGCACGGCTCAAGTGGCTTCAGAGAGCGAACAAAATTACAGCTCATACTGATGCAACCAGTGCAGGCACTTCTCAGCAGAACGACATCAACGACGAAGACGAATTTGATGACCAAAGAACGATTGTGGAAGTGGGCACCGTAACTCCCGCAGAAGATTTCGCTTTACTATTGAAACGGGGAGAAAAGTTTACTACGCTCTGCATCCAAATCCAGAACGTTATTTCAGATCTGGTCTTCAAATCGATGACCGTTCAGTATGAGAAAGTGGCCATGGCCATGATGATGTATCGCGAAGAAGCGAAAATTATGGGTCCCTATCGATACAACGAGTGGATAACCGAGTTCAAGAAAAGTCTACTCGCTCGAAGTAAGCAGGAATTTTGGGAACAGGTGGTAGTTAAAGAGTGTTTTGGACTGATTGGGTCGACCGAGAGCGACATGAGTACAGTAACCGCAGTTGAAGTGGAGGAATTCTACAACGTAAACACAGCACCGAAAGCTAGTGGCACTGAAGATAATGCTGATTACGTGGATGCGGATGATTTGTTTGCCAATATGTAAATTTTTTGCAACGCATAGGTTTGGACAGCAGGTGAAAAGCCCCATTTTGTATTCTGTTCGAAACGGATCTCCCGTACATATTTTTTATGGGAAATCCAGTTCGGACGAAATACAGAATAGTAGTGTTTATTTTATAGTAGGTAGCCCACTAAAGTCATTCAAATGTTGAAAGAAAGATTCTCTATTCTTTTCAAAACGGATTCCCAATACAATTTTTTGTTTTTGGAAATCCGTTTTGAACGGAATACAGAATAGGGGTGAATTTGTTGATGTCAGCATACATAATGTAATGTCCACCATTTTAAATAAAATGAAAGTAAATTTGGATGGATGTTTTTGTATCACATACAATGATAGAAGAGCAATAGTTTGTATAGCTTAACTCGATTTGTTTACATTTGTTACATTGGTCTATTTGAAAAGTGACGCGAGAATTCCACTTCCGTAGCGAAAATCCAGCAGATTGCAGCAACTCTATCATCTCCTTGATCAGCACCTTACCTTCCTCAATGTCGTCTACGCCTGACAACATGTCATCCACGTAGAAGTCCTTTCTAAGGACCTTTGATGCAGCTGGGTGCAAATCGTTGCCTTCATCGGAAAAACGAAGCAGACATTTCCCAGCCAAGTAAGATCCTGACGCACTGCCGTAGGTAACTTTGTTGAAAATGAATGTCCGAATGGGGTCTGTGACACTATCACCCTATCACTCCAGACGAATTTTTGCAATGGGCCGTGTACGAAGAAAAGTTCTAGCAATGGCCTATGGTAAGAAGGAAGACTGAAAAAATGGTCTTACAATAAGTATAAGTATAGCTGTTACATTGAACTATGAAAAATAAAACACATTTTTAAACCTCAACAATATTTTCGTGTCCGGATTTTTTCGTTTTCAACCCGAGGGGACAACCATAGAGGGGACACTCTATCTACGATCTAGGAAAGATTATGTTTTGGCATGGTTAGATGCGCGCACGCTAAGTAGATGTAGAAAGAAGATTGATGACGATTCTAAAGATTTCCTGCAAAAAGATGATGCGCGATGTAAGTAGATACGAGATTTGCTAATGTGAGATTTGTCGAGCATCTAGAATTGAGATTTAGATGTGACGCCCCCCTCGGTTCAACCTTTACTAAGCCAAAGAGAGTGCCTTTTGATACCTCATAATTCTTTTCCAGAAGGAAATATCAATAATAATAATAATGAATTTTAATTTTTGGGATAACAGGAGATTTCAAGCTAGTTTGAAGATAGCTTCAAGGGCATTCCTATAGGATACATTTTAAGAATTTTTAGGGGTTTTTATTTAATGTCATTATTTCATAATTCCGATCAGTGGTGGCACGAGTCCTGGAGTTTAACATTTTTTCCTTAACATTTGATACTTTTTGCGATAACCATTTTGACGACACACAAAAACAAACTGGCAAGCGGCAAAAATGTCATGACATTTCTAAACTGTTTTCTGCCAGCGACAGAACATTTTCGCACAAAGAAGCAGACAAGACCGGCGGCGCGCGCGACATAAATTTATGTCGTGTAGAATTTTGCTGATTTCTGGCTAATTACTGCATTTATTTGATGTTTATTGCATGGAATTAAAAGATAAGAATGAAGACTGACCACTCATAAGCATTGATGTTAAAATTATGCGTAAATTAATTTACTGTCACACGCAAGCCTGCAGCTAAAATTTCATTACAATAAACTGTTTGGAAAAATCAGGCTGCGAGATTTTATTTATTCTCTATCTCCGCTGTTCGCTTGGAATGTAGTTATAAACGGTTGCCCGTGTGCTGGCTGTTTTGTTTCGCTCTGGACGATGGTTTTTCAAAAAATGTACTGTTGCCACCTCTGATTCCGAAAAATAGCATTTTAGCTGTAATGAGCATTTGCAAGTTTAGAATTATCTATTCCATTGAAAATTGAAATCAATTTTTGCTCAGCAAAAAAACATCTCGTTTATCTAATCTGCGAATATGTTACAAATGACTTAATCAAAAAGGACTCCAGAACTATGCTGCAACATTTCTAAAGTCAAACATATATGTACTTGGGACCAATAGGGTTAACATTACCGTTGAGTGGTATGAAGCTAAACAGAAATTTATAAACAGTTTGCGTTAACAGGTGTTGGCATAGTAGGAAATCATTTATTAATTAAATTTCACAGGAATGATAACGAACACTATGAAAGATCAACTTCTATTTCGTGCTAGTTACGTGCATGACTTACACATTGTTGAGAACTGCGACAGAAATTTCCGCTAGTGATACAGTATCTCTGAAAGCACACGTCACATTATTCCGGCCGAACAGTTCAAGTTTGTTGCAAAAAAAAGGAAAACAAAACAAGACCCACTGCTGCAGATAACGGTGATAACAAGCTAAGTGTTTTACTGCAGGATAGCTTTTGTGAGTAGTCATCATCAGTCTACGTATGTGTACTCGATGGATTCGGTTAATTCCGCTCTTTAGTTGTACGGAATTTGTGCTACCCGGTTTAGATTTTAATTTGTGAATGGTGTGTTGATTCCAGTGAATAAGAAATGGTAGACAAGCTATAAAATAATGATACAACTGTCAATTGTAATACCAAACAAATCCAGCATGTGAAAGATCTGTTATTTTGTTATTGTTACAGACGCCACGTGATTTTTTTGTTCACGAATGATTAGAAAAAAAAAAAACACAAAATATTTAAATGTACGATTTACTGCGTCATAATTTAAATGTCAAAAATGTACAGAGTAAATCATGCCTCATAATTAACGGATCAGAGAGTAGCTAAGTTTGTAGACACAAAGAGTGCAAAGTACAAGTAGATAACAAATAAAAAGATATTGATATCGTACATAGTCTGTGATGAAATTTAATATACATTGATTATTAATCACAACTTACCGCCAATATTTAAACTGTTGTGGCATGTGATTGCGAATGTGCATATTTTTTTTATCTAAAACAATTTACTCGTGAAAACGTTATCTTATCTGTATAATCTGGAAATAATTAACCGTACATTTCAACCATGAACTTCCTAGGTTCGCTTATAAACGTTGACTACACATGCGACGTATCATAACGGAACCAAACGGTAATGCAATATATTCGGGAAAGGCTTTCTCTTAATCTTTCAACGAATCATCAAACAACCGGTACTTCCGAGATAACCAATGGATCCACACATGTCGCGGACACACCAGATACGCCTCCGAAACCTCCGGCCCGAAAAATTCGATATGGTGCTCAATTGTCAGAGGTAATAGTTTCGCCGACAATCTCCACTATATCAGAATCATTGAGCCATCAAGAAAGCATGCTGAATCGCTCCAGAAGTGTTGATGCATCAGAATCAACATTGGGATCAACCTATGCTACGCCCTATCAAAGCCCTGTTGCATCAGAAAAATGGTCACCGCACAGTGCAAGCACTGGTCAGCAAACCAAATCAGATAACGTTTATTTACAAAATCAAAATCAGTTTAACGGTTATCCGAAAACATACTCAACACCTATCGCTGGTGGCTACGTCAACCACTCATTCGTCGATGGTACCGGAAGTACTGTTACTAATCCAGCCCAACACAGCCAGGCACAGTAAGTAAACCACACCTGTTAACAAGAGGGTAATAAATCTAAATGTAATCGCTCTTTCAATGCCTGTCAATTAGTGCTATATCTTTATCGATTTATCAATTTCCATTGCATTGCCGCTTACGTATCATTGGACCATCTGGTGCATCCGTCTCCACCTCTAACGTTATCATAAGGAACACAAGCAATCAAATAAGTCAATCGACTGTAACTTCAAATTTGATACTCGATTGTATAACTGATACGAGTGTGTGATGAATCAGGTAAAATACGTGACGGTACTTCACATTAACTGATTTGTGGTTTGATGTAAATAATATTTATAAACATCTTGTAGTGAGTCATAGCAGCGGCAGTAAGTGGATGGAATAGCTTTATAACTTACTGGTTACGGTGGTAACCGTATAGCCGCTTGGCCTACCTAGATACAATTAGGTTCTTTAAGAGTATTGAGGTAAATGCTAGAATCTGTGTATAATGAGTCACGCCAAGAGTGAAGCCAAGTCTACCTATTGAACTGTCAAATTAAATTATTTCCCCAGCCCAAATTATGCATCATGATCAAAAACACGCAGTGAACTTTAAATTCCCTAATAAAAATAACTATAAACGAACGATAACCCAAATAATAGAACTATTACACAAATGGTTTGGATGATCCCGGAATACGTAGTTAAGCAAAATAACCATGACAATTTTTGTAGGGTTGTCATAGGATACGTTTGTTAATGATCAGATATGAGAATTTGTAATATTTGTTGTTAAATAATTCGACAAAACCACTGAAATAATGATTTACTACAGTCGCTAATTTGCTTTCTCGCTAGAAGTCATTGAAGTTGATGCAGAAGTCCTCTGTTGCCAAGTGAAAGAGAAGGAATTTTTCAAAAAAAGCGTTATGCGAGGTCCACTGTTGTTCTCTTGACGTACTCACTTTTTTTCTTGGCCGAGATGGTCACCACCGAGCTGCTTGGCATTTTATTTTGCTGGATCTCAGTGAAAAACTTGACAAGATTCAGCAAAAATTATGTTTGTTTGCTGAGATATCGGCAAAATTCCAGTTTGTTAGCTGAATATCGGCAAGTTTTTCACGGAGATCCAGCTCGGTAGTGCCCACCTCGACAAAAAATCTAAGTGTGTAAATCATATACACAGACTCTAGTAAATGCATATTTGTAACCTGCATTAAATGTGAAAATTTTATCAAATTGAGTGCACTTTTTTAAATAAGCACGATTACATTATCAAAAATCACTATTTAAACACCCCTGGGAGCGTGCTGCCAACTATAATAGATTTATGGAGGTAAGCTCCAACCGGTATTATCCTCGGATTGAATCCCGAATGTCCGGCTACTATAATAAGAGTTAACCAATACGACTCTAAGCAAACATTTTTCAGATCATTCAAACAGGGTCAGTATTAAAAGATAATCCGAGTTGAAGCTTACCGCCATTAGAATCTAGACGAATGTATATGAGACTGATATAAATATTGTGTTCAGAAAACGAAATGAAAACCGGTATTTACGTTTTTTGAAATTAAACACCCCAATTTTAGAGCACTAGAACGATTTTAAGCTAGTGCGACTACATTTGCTATAATCACCATCGTAGCGCCCCTCGGTGGTACTGTAGTATGAATAGAGCTGTCAATTTGTTAGTTTTGCGACAAAAAACGAAGAGATTATTTTGCTTTAATTCTTGATTTAACGCGAAGCTTACCACTACTAAAATAATTTTCTTTTTTGCACGTTTGGATTTTTCTAAAAATATATTAAAAATAGAAGAAAATCAGTTTTTTCGTGTAAAAACATTTTTTCTAATTCATCATTTTAAAAACATTGGGTAAACAATCGTGAGGTCTGATTTTGCGACATTATATACCCAATAAGTATGATGTAGAAAAAATGTTTTTGCAAGTTAAATTTCAGGCGGCGGTAAGCTTCGCGTTAAAAACGAGGTGAAAGTCTATTGGATCGAGAAAAAAATATCCCTGTACTCAGAAAACGAAGCTCTTTCAGATGCTGTATAATAACCGTAATAATTTGTAAAAGTACAGTATTGTCTGTTTCATTGGAGGCGAAATGCGCCGAAACAGTCACATAAATTGTCCCCAAATTATCCCATTTTTACGAGGGGGACGACTCTATCTACGGTGCAGAAAAGATTGTGTTTTGCTGTGGCTATCTGCACGCACGCTGAGTAGATAGAAGGAAGATTTATGTCGATTTTGAAGATTTCCTACAAAAAGATGAAGCGCGATGCAAGTAGATGCGAGAAATGAAAGATGATTTTTCGAAGATTGATTCGCTAGTGTGAGATCTTTTGAGCATCTAGAATTTAGATTTAGATGTGTCGCCCCCTCGCATTTTTACACAAATTTCTCTACCATAAATTTTCAACGTGCACAAAGTTTCAATCCATCCTATTTATTCTTTCTATTCTCAACTTATCCCTTAAACAAACACACAAATTATGAAGCAACACGTGCAGTTTATCGCAGTTTTCAGGTCAATCGCGCAGCACTCTGTCATATTCACTGTCAGTTTTCAACGATCGGCAAAACATCTAAAGGCTGGCGCACAATGTATAAGTTTCCGGACTTTTTAACAGATAATGCATGGGCTAACTGTCAAAAAACCTGAAAACTTATCCATTGTGCGCCAGCCTTAAGGCACCATTTTGTGGATTATTTTAACTAAAATTTGACAGATGGAAAGTTATTGATTAGCACCGCTATCCGAGCGTGGTTACTTCTGACAGACAAGAAATTAATTTTGACAACCTTGACTAAGTTTTTCTCGAAAACCGTCTTTGAATTTCTCTACTGGTATCATTTTCGGCGGTCACCCCAAATACACGAACTCGTCGACCACCTCGATTTCGACACCGTCAAACTGGAGGCTAACATTGTCTTCCCTAGAACCTCTTCCTCTCATGTATTTCGTCTTAGATGCATTGATGGCAAGTTCAATCCGCCTAGCTTCAGCCTTCAGTCTGATGTACGTTGCCACCATCGTCTCAAAGTTTCGTGCCATGTCCTCGATGTCCTTGGCGAAGCCAAGAAGCTGAATGGACTTCCTGAAGATCGTACTACTTATGTCTATCCCAGCTCTTCTGATCACACCTTCTAACGCAATCTTGAATAGCAGACACGAAAGTCCATCACCTTGCCATAATCTCGGCTGTAACCTCCTTCGAGATTCAAAGGGACTGGAGAGTGTCCCCAATCACTCGATCCATCATCGTCGCCTTGACCAATTGTGTCCGTTTATCCTAAAATCCGTAGTCGTGAATAATTTACCATAGCTGATCTAGATCGATTGTGTCGTATACGGATTTGAAATCGATGAACAAAAATGATGTGTGGGCACGTCTAGGTTGCCTATCAGAAATTCATATTTTTTTTTTCAAAACCGAACACCCTAAAGGATCATGATATCAAGATAGGCTATTAAATCTGTAATTAATAGGCTGTAATGTAAACGTGGAATTAGGCTAGATGACCACTGCACAGAGGGTCTAGAAAAAGTTTCTCACTATAACGAAAGCCTGGCTTAAACACATAATTCGAAATTCATCTGCATAGGTGGCACCAAGTCTAACTTTTTATTCTGACATTGGGGGGACTTTGAAATAGTTATTTTTCTTGTAAAGTTTAATGGAAATAAGATTCAATATAAAAAGATTTCCTTAAAACAAGCCAATGATCCCACTTATCGCCAAATCCCACTTCTCCCAGTATACTTTCTCACATGAAAACTATTTCCATTTCCAGTGTCATTCACGAGCAGTACTGGACATGGTCTTGCAAGTGTCGACGTCAGTTAAGCAATCGCGAAAAGATACTCCTGCTGGTCATATGCTTTTTGCTGCTAATCGTTGGTGGACTGGCGGCTTATCTCGGCTTATCAGACAATGGAAACCCACTACCAGGTATGTATCTACTGTAGCGTGTCGAATTGATATAGAAGTTCCGCATTTTTTTTTTGCGATATCCATATTTGGTTTGAAGGTATTCCCTCAAAACGGGCGAACAATTTTTTAGATAGAAATAGATTATTAGATTACAAGAGCAAATTTTCATTACGTCGCAAGTAACAAAGGTAGACAAAGTCGAGCTATCAGTGTCAATCGATGCTCCTGCTATTACACGCACAGCAATTGATCGTACAACTGCCGAGCCCTCGGTTTGACTGATGCGTCTTTTTTTTCACTCTGCTTTAGCCTCTTCTGCTTGTTATACGTCTTTAGACCCATTGGCCCGCTGGACGTTACCCCAACAATCAATACGAAACTAACGATTTTAAATTGGCTCACTACTTGACTAGCCTATTGGTCCCAAGCAAATCGACTAACGTACCCCATTTTATAGATTCGAGGGGTGCATCGATTAGCTTGGGACCAAAGATAGTACCAGAGCTGAGCCAAAAAGTTGAGTACTTTTCTTCGGAACCTTCTAGTCTTAGAGTTACCTCTATGGTTACCCTTCGAGGATCCCATTTTTTTAGCCACGTCTCGATCCGAAGCACGTTTCTTGCGAGTGAAAGCTTGCACGATTTTCCGGTCCAAATTTCGGTCAACAGGGTTCGGTTTACGTCCAGCTTTTTTCTTGTCAGGAAAAGTTGCTTCAGGGTTCTGCATTTTCGAAACAAAGAAAAGAAACTGAACTCTCCGCAGAATCGCTTCATTTCGAGCAATATCATGTTCGTGTAAGTCATCGTTTTTTTTTTTTTTTTTTTTTTTTTTAACTCTTTATTTGTTCCAAATTCAAAATAAATTACATTTCATTTTTAACCTAGGTGCTCCAGTTACTACAGTAACTTACCAGCCTTAATTGTTATGATATATATCTAAGTGTTTTTACATTGTTCCTGTCTTGGCAATTCAGTATTTTAAACAGGTTTTTTAAAACCTGCATGTCAGTATAACAATTGATAGCTTAAAACTAAATAACTAAAACTAAATCTTATCTAAGTATAAAGGGAATTAATCGTTGCAATTGAGGATTGTAACGATTTCTGCCGGAAATTATTAATTATTTTGTTGGACATTTGTGCTAAAGTCTCAACATTCGAAATTCTATGTACTTCGGTAGTACTGTACCAGGGAGGCAACTTCAAAATCATCTTCAGAATTTTGTTCTGAATCCTTTGAAGTGCTTTTTTCCTGGTAGTGCAACAACTAGACCATATTGGCACAGCGTAAAGCATAGCCGGTCTAAAAACTTGTTTAAATATTAGAAGTTTATTCGTCAGGCAAAGTTTGGATTTCCTGTTAATAAGAGGATACAAACATTTTATATATTTGTTACATTTGGCTTGAATGCCCTCAATGTGATCTTTAAAAGTTAATTTATGGTCAAGTATTAATCCAAGATATTTCACTTGGTTTGACCAGGAAATTGGAACTCCGTTCATAGTGACTATGTGACTACTACTAGGTTTCAAAAAGGAAGCCCTGGGCTTATGTGGAAATATTATAAGTTGAGTTTTGGAAGCGTTGGGAGAAATCTTCCATTTTTGTAAATAAGAAGAGAAAATATCTAAACTTTTCTGAAGTCTGCTGCAAATAACACGAAGACTTCTTCCTTTAGCGGAAATGCCTGTGTCATCAGCGAACAAAGATTTGTGGCAACCCTGAGGCAAATCAGGGAGGTCCGAAGTGAAAATGTTATACAATATAGGCCCAAGAATGCTACCCTGAGGAACTCCTGCTCTAACAGGTAGTCGATTAGATTTGGAATTTTGATAATTTACCTGCAGTGTAAGTCATCGTGTTTCTTGTTATCGAGTCACGATGAACATTCCTCTTTTCAAGCATGACTGGACTATCACTTGTTTTGTTCGTCAAGTGCTTCAGTTCATTTTATTTGAAGCAAATACTCATTTCAATTGACGCAATGAATGACTCGAAAACTGCTTCCTTCGTTTTTTCCACTTTCACTTCAATTCGGGCTCATTCGACTTGTCACGACCTAACGTCGCAGGCTTCAAATTTAGGATCCAGATAGTATTCGCACAATATGGATTTCCGATAGGGATGGCATCTGGATTATGTGTAGTAATAATATATTATTTTATATTAAACGAAAATTGAATTAACGAGACCTTTCTGGATGGCAGCCATCGAGGTCAGGGAAAGTCCTACAATATGGGTATTTTCGGAACGAGGATGCCACGTAGATGCTGAAAATCGATACCCGACGCCATTTTGGAATTCATGATAGTAGCCATTGGTTTTATGAAGTGTCAAATACCCTAAGACATGGGTATTTTCGGAAAGGGGACAACGCGTAGATGCCAAAAATCAATATTTGACGCTATGTTGGAATCCAATATGGCGGAAATCAGGATTCAGAAAGTGTCAACTATGTTGTGATTCCAGAATTGCAATAAACACTTCGAGAATACTTTTGGTTTTAAGGTTGATTTTATTGAAACTCAATACGTCAGGTTATCTTACGAAGACATGGTACAATATCGATAGTTCATTATTTACATAGTTCATTTCTGCTTCACATTCTCACACTCCCTATCTCCCTATTGCCTATATATGAGATAGCACACATTCAAATACTACTAGCAAGTTTGTATGCAAGAGGCAAAGCTTCTAGCTGACCACTAAAGCTTCTCCATTCAATATTGCATACAATACCATATGCGAATAACAGTTACGGCTCGCATCTCTCATGTTTACACTGACAATTGTCATCCGATGTGTCAGTACCGATCTATCAGTTGAATGGTAAATTGTTATTGTTTACTCCACAAGACGATGGTGATAATATCACCGCAGTTTGTTTCTCAACAAACTATCCTACAATATGGGTACTTTCGGAACGGGGACAACGCGTGGCTGCAGAAAATCAATATCCGACGCTATGTTGGAATCCTATATGGCGACCATCAGGGTTCAGAAAGTGTCAAATACCCTACAATATTGGTATTTTCGGAGACAACGTGTGGATGCCGAAAATCGATATCAGATGCCATTTTGGAATCCAATATGGCGGCCATCGGGTTTCACAAAAAGTATCAAATACCTTAAGATCTGGGTATTTTCGGAACGAGGACGACGCGTAGATGCTGAAAATCGATATTCGATGCCATTTGCAGGCTATTTGACACTTCTTCTGAAATCGGAAGCCTCCATCTTTAATTTCAAGATGGCGTCGGACGTCGATTTCTGGCTTCTAGATGTCAGTCCGATTTAAAAAAAAACCCCCATTGATCGGTATTTGACAGTATTTCACAATTCTGAACCAAAGCCGCCATCTTGGATTTAAAGACGGCGTGACATCAATTTTCGACATCTACGTCTAATCCCCATTCATAAAATAACCATATTTTAGGATATTTAACGCTTTTCCGCAAATCGGAAGCCGTCGTCTTGTATTACAAAATGGCGTCGGATATCGATTTACGCTACCCTGATTCTAAAAAAAAAACAGTTTGTATGGGTATTTGATAGAATTTACAACTTTTTTCTAAAACCAAAAGCCAATATCATGGATTTCAAAATGGCATCGGATATTGATTTCCAATCTCCAGACATCACCCCGATTCCAAAAATACCCATATTGATGGAACGGCATCAGCATTTCCCATTTTTTTCTGAAATAGGAAGCCGCCATATTGGATTTCAAGATGGCGTCGGATATCGATTTCCTGTCTCTAGACATTATCCCGATTCCAAAAATACCTTTATTGATAAGTATTTGACAGCATTTCACACTTTTTCTTAAACTGGAAGCCACCATCTTGGATTTAAAACTTTCGTCGCATACCAATTTTCGATCTCTAGACGTCACCCCGATTAAAAAAATACGCATATTGATGGGTAAAAAAAACCAACCAACAATTATTAATTAGACATCCACTTGCACAGATGTCTGTGCATACGCTTAAATGAACCGGGTGAACAATCAGCAAAAGTCATAACAACTGCGCGAATTTGGATCGAACAGCATGAAAACTGATCGAAAGTGGTTCTGTTGATGTTGACGGGGATCTGCTCGAAGAAAAGACAGAATGACTTTCAATCGAAAGTGATGGTTGACAGCTTCATCGTCGCTTGACGATTTTCGATTGAAAGTGACTTTGTGGGGCCCTGCCTCCGAATCGCGTTTCGAACGGATCCGATGCTTACACCTTCTCATTTTGCTAATTGACTCCGAGAAATGTTGGGGATAGAACCAGTGCTGCAAAATCTCGACAGTACACGGTGATATTGACAATTCTGCTTTGGTCACTCATTTGAGCTAACAGTCATAGTCAAGGCAAACCATGTCAATTGTCAATGACAATGGTGTCAGTGACGAACATGTGCAGATTTGTTTATTAGCTAAATTTGTAACGAAATTAAATGACTTGAGCAAAACAATTACATGCATCCATTTCAGTGAACAAGTATCTATGTCCTGAGCTACTTGGATAACAATAATGTGACACAGAATGTACTAAATTACACTTTTTGTTACCAGGTGAATCTTTGTCATTGACGAAAAAATGAATGAGATTTTGACGAAGGTTTTTTTGAGGATCAAGTCTGTCAGTGACGAACAATTTTGTCAATATCGCGCGAAAGTCTGTCAATGACAATGACAAATCTCAGCACTGGATAGAACACCGGAGAAATGCTTCGCATTGTCACGGAAATGTAAAGAACCGACACTTGCGATACACGAAACTGTTGGTCGAAATGTAAACAATGATTCAACGTGATAATCAGCTGTTTGAATGTCATCTGAAACACGCAGAGGTGTTCCAAAGTCGTGCTTAGACATTCTGGGACACCCTTTACTGTCCGAATATAGGATCACATCCTATTTTTAAATTTATTTACCAGTCAAATTGCTTTTTGAGCTAATCACCTTCCGATCAAAATATTGTTCGATGATACTTAAGTCACCCGATTTCTATGGAGATCGTATGGAGATGCCGTTTGTCTTAAGTAACAGCGCAGAGAAACCCGTGAAAAGTGTACGTTCGTCGTTTTGCTTTCTTATTATTAAAGTGAATAAATCGAACTGTTTGTTGCTTAGATGATTTCGGTAGTCCTAAAATGATAAGAAAGGAGACGTGATTGATAATTCTTCCAAATATCCTGGTAAATACACTTTGACTTATGTAACATTAGGGGGCCACCAAACGACGTATAATAACTTTTGACTCAAAAACCAATATTTTTAAACATGAATACTAGCGATTTGCTTTGTATGATTAAAACCCTGCTTAGTATGTTAAACATTGCTATCACTTTGAGATTATACGTGTTTAATTGGCAATAGGAATAACTTTTCAGTCATCAATACAAAACTTTATTTTTTCGGATCGGTGCGAATGTTACTTTCGACGTAATGAAAATATGCTATTGGTTAGTTCTTTTCTTTATAATTCTCCTACACCCAACCGGGGGATGTAAGATTCGCTTACAATTATGTGGAATTCATCATCAGAGGATGCTAGTGGAGACCGCATGAACCGAGGATGCGATATACCTAGCTGCGGTTCAATGCAAGAAAATTGGAGACCGAAAAATGTGGAGTGTATTAGCATAGAGGTAACTCTAAGACCAGAAGGTCCCGAGGAAACGAGCTCAACTTTTTGACTCAGCTCTGGTACTATCTTCGGTCCCAAGCTAATCGATTCACCCCTCGAAACATAGGAAAATCCACTAGCCCCTCATTTTATCTGTCAAACTTTCATAGCGAATCAAAACAAACATAGTGTATTTAGTACTGGAATTTATACTAGAATGGGGTACGTTAATCGATTTGCTTGGGACCAATAGGCTAGTCAAGTAGTGAGCCAATTTAAAATCGTTAGTTTCGTATTGATTGTTGGTATTAGTGAGTGAAATTAATTATGTCGAAAAAAAGGAAAAAGTTTGCCGACTGGACTTGAACCACGACTTTGCGATTACCAGACCTGTGCTTTCTCCACTGCTCTCTCCATGCTTCTGAATATGGATAGCATAGAAGAGTTGCCAGTCTTTTTGATTTGTTGTCTTCGCTAAAAGCAAACACGAATCGCTCATTTCCTCTCATACTCGACTTCGTATGCTATAAATAAAAAGCTTACTGGTATAGTGGAAAGCATAGATAGAACACGAAATAAAAAAGACAAAAAACCATTACATTGACTGCAAGGCCAATTTCTAACATTCGCTGCGATGTTCATGAACAGTCTTCTTTATATGCTGTCTTCGTTTAAAATCAGCTCCTGACTACACGACACACGATTGTTTTCAAGCTGAACAATGCATTAGGTCGTAAGTAACATTGACAGATTCTCTTCGTTGACTTTTTCTTTGCATGTTTACGGCCATGGCCATTCCGAGCTATTTGGAGCCACCCATATTCTTGTTTTCGTTCGAACCGTTTTTTTCCAAACAAAAAAAAAATTTTTTTATGTTCGAGCGAGAAAGTCGATGATGAGAATCGATAAATGTTTCTCAGGACCTAATGGAATATGAGCATGAGCATGATTTGATATTGATCAACAAACATGGATGTAAATTTCTTAAACAACATTTCACTATCAAAACGGCGACTCTACACGGTAAGAAAAAATACTCAAAATTAAGTTAAAAAAAAACTCAACGTTGGGTTCTATCATTTGAGGTCCGCCGTTGAGTGAATCAGAAAAGCAGCGTTGGTTAAAATTTGCTCAACTATTGAGTAATAATAAATGAACTCAAATATAAACTTATTTTCATTGAGGTTGCGCTTATGCGCCTTTAACCATTTCATTTTCACAAGTATTGATAGACGAGTGGTCAACACACGGGCCCCGTATTCTCAACGTCCATGGTTCGGTTCCAGTCTGCTTCGTTTTATTATTTTTTTTGTCAACGTGGATTCATGATCAGGATTACTCAAAATTGAGTTTTCTTCTTTAACTTAATTTTACCTAGCCCCACGGAAGCCACGTGATGAGTGAAAGGAACTCAATTTTGGGTACTTTTTTCTTACCGTGTACTTTTTTAAAGAATCGCTTTAGCCGTCGATTTTTCGCGAATAAAAACTAACTAGATTTGGGTTAAACCAAACCAAAAAGTGGGTAACAACATCTATGTGAAGCAGGTGAATTATACAGTGTATCTCAAAATTGAGCGTACACTTGAATGGACAATTTTTTTTTAAAGACTGTGAACAGATAGAGTTTTGAAATCTTGGCTAGTGGTTGAACAACTATTTATTGATTTATCAGTATAGCTTTGGACTTTATTGCCAGAGTATGTATGAAGTTTGAGTAATTTCAGTAAAACGATCGATTTTTAACATTTTTTTTCATAGTAGGCGTATTTTAGTAAAATTAGCGGCATTTTAAGATCTCTATTATGACTACAGATTAGCAAAATTTCAATACGTTTGGCTAGTTTTTTTTTAAATAGCTCTAACTTCTTACTCACTCATCCAAATAAGGCCAATACTATACCGATAACCAATAAATGGTTAATGTGCCAGCAGCCAAACATTTAGAAATCTCCTGTTGTGCTCCTACAGCTGTTTTTCTGAAATGTACGGACAGCTGTACGCTCAATTTTGAGATACGATGTATATTGAATTTGACAGCCACAGCATGCATCTGAATAACATCTTCGAGTTGGGGAATGTTTCCCCTTGTTTATGTTGACACCGTAAGGTACTATAACAAGTTTTTTAGCTTAAACAATTAGTTAATTTTTTGAACTATTTGTTGAGGGTGTCAAATTAAACTAACCCAACTTTTCTTGTGTACAAAAATCGGTAGCAGTGGCATTACTGGTCGGTAGACACGCCGTTTTACATATATTTCTTCGAAAGCTTATGAAAATATCTAGTAGAATGCTAAATATTCGTATTTTTAGTTGATCTACTGAAAGAGTGCTGATCTCTGGAAAATTTTGTTACACAATAATAATCCGGTTTTTACGGTGCAATAACAAAAAAAGGTAGCATGACCAACATATTAATGAAGAGTCGATTTTCTCTTTTGTTAATAACTCGGCAGGTTTAACATTTTTCGGTTCGTTTGATGTTGCTTTTCCCAGCTAATACATTCTTTTAGTACACTGTACTGGAACAATTTCAGAAAATTGGTTCACTTAACTGTAGTAATGCGAAGAGAAAATCGATTAAGAGTATCGATCATGATGATTCTGAACAATATCCATATCTATATTACACAACCAATCAGTGTTGGGAAAATATCAAAAAAATCAAATCTCACCATCGCCCTAGATAACGCTTGATTTTCGTTGACAAAAATCAACAAGCAAACAACTGCGGTTGATTTTGCAAGCTGTGATATCGGATCTCGGAATATCAAGCTAAAAAACTCACCAGCTGCAAATCTCAACAAACTGTGGTGAGATTGAGTTTCATGATTTTTGCTTTGCACCCCAATGCAACCGAAACTTCCATAACGGCTGACAGCAGTCACTTCGTGTCTGCCATCGGTGAAGAGTTAAAAGACATAGCAAACTATACTTTCTCTTTCTAAGAAAACGATGTGCAACGGAATCATTTTTGTGTCGAGTCAACTCTCAGCTTGATTTTTGCACGTCGTGAATAGTCTCGCAATATCGAAAGAGCTTGTAAAAACAATATCAAGCATGATATTTTGTTCCAATATCATCACGCGTGAAATTGCTAGCGCATGAGAGCGGAAAATATCAATTCAGTGCCAACATTTCAAAGGGGCGTAATTGCTTTTGTAAACAATGGCTTTAGACGTCGATTTCTCGCAAATGAAAACCCACACCTCCAAATTACAAATGCTAGCTAATACAGGAAACATTCCTCTGCGTGCTGGTGTCATTCATTTTCATGAGTGAGCTTTCATTCGTGAGATATCGACGACTAAAGCCATTGTTTACAAATGCAATTACGCCCCTTTGAAATGTTGGCACTGAATTGATTTCTGATTTTGCCAAAACTGCAACCAATAGAATATAAGTGCTAATATATAAATACTAAGACCTAAGGAAGGCAGCAAATCATATAACATATATTTATTTATTTTTTTAAGGTGGATTGTTAACACCAGGAGTATTACAAATGAGAACAGCAGAATGAGAATGCGGCATAGGATTTTCTGTTCCAATACATTGACTGAAATTTTAAATATTATCCTTTGTTACCTAAGTGCCATTTACGATGAAAGTTTAATGTATACTATTGCATGTGATGAGAGCTGAAATAAAAATATCGACTAGGACAAAACATATCCACTATGCTTATTTTATTCAAGAATACGAGAAAAGAAATCAATGATTTTTTAGGCAAACATTCCAAAGATCTTCTAAATAGGGCTGGTAATAAACACAATTTATCACAAATGCTACACAAAGCAACGCGTAATTAAATCTACCCATCTAACGGAAACTTTAGAAGAGCTCCAAAATTAGTAGTAAATATTCAATAATTTCCTGTTGAGTCCGTTAATAAAATCAAGGGGTCGGCCGAAACGACTAATAGCGAATTCGTTTATTATCGGGGTTGGAACCAGTTCCAACCCATGCGAACCCGAACTTTTTGTCAGTGCGAACCTCGACCCGTGCCAGGTTTTAAAAACAAACGATCAAACTGACGTTTGCTAGAAAACAAGCAGACCCAATCTTGATACCCGATCCAGGTTGGAACTGAATAATAAACGAATTCGCTATAAGTCAAACGATCTGGTCGACATTATGAAACAGATCGTTCGGGTGAACCATTTTTAGGTATAGATAGATTATGTGTTGAAGATATTATATCTGATTTGAATAAAGAGGGTTGCTAAAGCTCGTTGAAGTATCAGTCAGTAACTGTTGGTTATAGTGTATTCACCTTGTTTATTACTGCAGGAAGCCTAATTTACGTAAGTTCTTATTTACTCAAAAATTTCAATTAATCACTTTCAAGACTTTTAACACTAAAACACATTTTATACTTCCACAGGACTACTCATGGACAAGGTAGCGTACTAAAACGTTCAAGCATATTGCTGTAATTCCTTCGAAATAGATGGCAACAAAGGAGTGAGGATCTTTGCGGTATGTTCCTCAGAACAATATGTTTGAGTTACATTCGAAAGACATGCAATGGGTAACGGATAAAATGAAACTGTGTACATCTTGTCGGCTAAAGTTGTCACACAGTAACGAGCATGAGGATTTAGTGACCGCTCCTTCGTACAGTAGATACAGGTCAGCACGTTTCACCAATGTTCTCGCCAGCTGCAACAAGAGACGCTCCTGCATCGGTAGGATCCGGTCAACACGCTTCACCACTATTTTCACCACCTTCAACGGTACAACAACAAATTGATATCCTCTAAGGGATGGTCCATTAATTATGTCACGCAAATTTAGCCCATTTTCAAACCCCAACCCCCCTCCCCCCTTTGTCACATTTTTTGTATGGATCTTATTTTTTTTGTATGACTCGTCACAGTTTCCAAACCCCCCCCCCCTCCCCCCTAAAAGTGTGACATAATTAATGGACGATCCCTAATTTTTGCCAAAAAGAAGGTCATTTACCAAGCCACTCGTCGCGATATCTGAATCAAAAACAAATGTAATAGGAGCAGTATAAAAACCGATTTAATTTTAAAATCTTGTGTAGCCAAGAAAAGGATTTTAACATCAGAGCAGAATGGCACTTTTTTCCAACTTCTCGTGGAAAAGGTCCTTGTTATGGCAACAGCTGAACGTTAGGTAAACAGTTCGGTGATTTTTCACGGATTTCCTGTAATTTTTCAACGAATATCTGTAAATAATCACAGAAAATCTGTGAAAAATTACCCGCTAGTGTGTGCACCCTTAGATTATTTAACCGAAATCTGTGAAATTTTACCGAAATCTCAACAGCTGAACGTTCGGTAAACAGTTCGGGGATTTTTCACAGTTTTCCTATAATTTTTCAACGAATATCTTTGAAAAATCACAGAAAATCTGTGAAAAATCACCGAACTGTTTACCGAACGTTCAGCTGTTGACATTTCGGTTAAATTTCACAGATTTCGGTAAAATAATCTTAGTGTGTAGCTACACCGTAAAAACGAAAACTACATTACTGGTAGAATTACATAAGGCAAGTGCGCTTTAAGATGTATCGTCTTGAACGCTGTCCAGACTGGAGAGTTATAACATGTTATAACGGTTGTCAAATAATTGCAACACAGAAACCACCAGCAAGATAGCGCTATAACATGTTATAACTCTGTAGTCTGAACGTACTATTGGTCTCTTCCGCGCACTTATAGTACGTTCAGACTACAGAGTTATAACATGTTATAGCGCTTTCTTGATGGTGGTTTATGTGTTGCAATTATTTGACAACCGTTATAACATGTTATAACTGCTCAGTCTGGCCAGCGTTTTAAACGCTGTCCAGACTGAGAAGTTATAACATGTTATAACGGTTGTCAAATAATTGCAACACAGAAACCACCATCAAGATAGCGCTATGACATGTTATAACTCTGTAGTCTGAACAAGGCATTATTCGTTATGAGCGTTATGAGCCAAGAAATAAGGGTGCCATGCACCACGGATACGAATTTTGTTCATTTAAATCAAAAATATAAATGTTCATACTCTAAACATATGAATTATTCAAAGTAAATTGAAAGTATGTTTAAAATAAAAATATTTATGTTTGAATCAAATTCAAAAGCATGTTTATTTCAACAATATCGAAATATCAATTGTATTTGAAAGCACCTGTCACTGAAGTGTTTGTGGTTGACTGACAATAATCGGTTTCTGTACGCGGCAAATAAGAATGGAATCATTGGCGGCGATAAAGGCACAGAAGACCAAGTAGAAAACGGTAGTTCTTTCGCTGGTCATTTCGCAGGATCTGTTAGTGGCCCATGAGATCAAGAACTGGACGGAGCGACACTGGAGCTGGTGACCACAGAACATTGATCCCTGTATAATGAGAGAGAGAAGGATTAGTATTTTCCATTTAATTCCACTACTTTATTTGCTTATCCTTGACAGATACGCGTATTTCGTCTACAATGTGCAGACTTCTTCAGTGTCTTGTACTAATACTCGACTGAGTATTCAGTATTAGTACAAGACACTGAAGAAGTCTGCACATTGTAGACGAAATACGCGTATCTGTCAAGGATAAGCAAATAAAGTAGTGGAATTAAATGGAAAATACTAATCCTTCTCTCTCTCATTATACAGGTATTCCACTAAGACGCCCACATTCATCAGGATTGATCCCTGCATACGGATGTGATTGCATCCGGATCATGTGACGGTGATAATGCAAATAAAAGCACACGATTGGTGATTTAACCTAATCGCGCACTTTTAGTTATTTCATCGCACATTCGAAATGGAAATTTGTGCTAAGCATTAAATATGTTTAAAATAAACTTCAAAATCATGTTTAAAATAAAAATATTTATTTTAGATTCCAAACATGTAAAAGCAAAAATATTAACGTTTATTTTCAACACGAATATTTTTAAAATAAACGTAGCATGACTTTTATTTTAAACATTGATGTCACATGACTTTAAACATAAAATACGTTTGAAATAAATCTAATTTATTTTTGTGGCCAGAACAAACTGAGTTTACGTTTATATTTACCTCAAATATTTTTATTTCGATAATATTTTTTTCTGCGTGACGGTAACCGCAAAATACCCAATAATGACTACAAAGTAAGCATTTTCGAGGGAAACTGGGACTACCCATTAAATAAGTAAAATTTTACCTATTACAGTAATAACAACTACAAAAACAAGTAGCAAGTATTCAATTTGAATAACAAATACTCATAGATGGGTAATATTTTTACTCATTTAATGGGTGGTCCCAGTCTCCCTCGAAAATGCTTACTTTGTAGTCATTATTGGGTATTTTACGGTTACCGTGTGGTGTTTGGCGAATAGATATCCGTAACGTTTAACGCACACGCACTAGCGGGTGCATTGCCGGGTAAAGTTGTTTATTATTTTCCTTCGACTAATCTAAAAATTGTTACTCATTGATGGGTATTCACCAACACCGTGAAGACACCAAAGCTTAAACTGAATGTTGAAAAAATAAATGCGGAATTGTATCGTGTTCCATTCTAATACCCCGTACAGACTATGGCTTATATCATGTAAGTAATATAGGCTGTCTTGTAATGAGCACTCATACATCTAGTTTTCACTGGAAATCATATGTATGAGTGCTCATTGCAAGACAGCCTATATTACTTACATGATATAAGCCATAGTCTGTACGGGGTATAACACTTTCACTATGTGACCGTGATATCGTTCCGAATGAGAAGTATTCACTGGTTAAAGGTTTGAACTTGAATAATGTTAAATTATGAATTATGATGGTTTCTAATAGCGAATTTGTTTATTATTCAGTTCCAACCTGGATCGGGTATCAAGATCGGGTCTGCTTGTTTTCTGACAAACGTCAGTTTGATCGTTTGTTTTTAAAACCTAACTCAGGTTGAGGTTCGCACTGACAAAAAGTTCGGTTTCGCACATACAAAATACTACATTTTTCACCTGCGTGAAAAACGCAATTGGCAAATATTTCGCTTCGCTTTGAACTGTAAACAGATACGATCCAGCGAAATCTTATTTTGTGGATCGTATCTTTTTCGCTTACGTTCATTTTTTTTCGGGCATGCAGCGCTAGCGAAAAGAGCAGCAGGTAAGCGAAAAGTTGACGTTTCGAGAAAGAGCGTATCTGTCAGATTTTCAGTTCACCGGAGGTGTAAACTGACCGATTTTGTTTCACACTGCGAAAAAAGGAAACTGGAAAATGTTCCACAAACGTTTTTTCATAACCTTTTTCGCTAGCGAAATTTCATGATTTTTCGCGTACTTCGATTTTCGTTTCGCTTCGATCTGTATACTAAGCTTATAGTACGTTCAGACTACAGAGTTATAACATGTTATAGCGCTATCTTGATGGTCGTTTCTGTGTTGCAATTATTTGACAACCGTTATAACATGTTATAACTCTCCAGTCTGGACAGCGTTTTAAACGCTGTCCAGACTGGAGAGTTATAACATGTTATAACGGTTGTCAAATAATTGCAACACAGAAACCACCATCAAGATAGGGCTATAACGTGTTATAACTCTGTAGTCTGAACGTACTATTAAGATGACCATCGACTTTCTTTTTCGATAATAACTTGAGCACATAACCGTGTACAGTTGTGTTTGTCGTATTAGATGCTACACTCAAAGATACATTAAATCAAAAAATCTTAAAAAGTATGCAGATTCCCACTACCTTATTGAGTCCACTGAAAGTCTCTGTAATAAAGAAATCAATCAATCAATTATTGAGTCCGAGCCATGATTACTTCGGCAGTTGTAGTATAAAATTTTATTATTTCCAGTATAAAATTTTATTATTTTGGAATATTAATGTATAATCAAAACATATTAAACAAATTATTAAAATAAATAAAATCAAAAATAATTTAAATTTATTCAAAAAAGATAATTTTCAATCTAATCAACCATAATGGGTTTAATATCAGACGATTAGTTTTTAGAAAGAGAGTATTAATTTTTAATCATTCGATATGATTAAACTGAGTTTAATGTCAAATTGATTCAATTTCAAGTAAAATGGGAATAGTTTAATTTAACAGTTTAGATAAAAAACTTCTTTTATCGATCTGTGTGCTGAAAATATTTGGGAATGTGTATAAAGAGAAAGTTGACGAAGAGAATCTGCCAATGTTACTTAGGACTTAATGCAATATTCAGCTTGCAATTTGTTTTGGCCTATTGCGCTACTTTTTAAAATTGTTAAAGACTAAGTAATTTACTATTCCTCTGGTGTGAAAGCTCCGGCGTGCTTTCATGATGCGACGCCCGGCTCGAAACCCGCCAAAACAAGTTAAGCACGCTTGCGAGTCGGTAAATAGCAAGGGGGAAGCCCACCCCAGGTAAATAGTCGTTTATTATAATTTGTTCAACCGTAAGCTCCGGAAGTGAGAAAATATTATTTAGAATCGGAAGACGTAATATCATTGAAGTTTGACTAAAAATGGGGCCACGCCGAACACGCGCAGGACCTGCTGCTAAAGCGCAAACACAGGTATATTTATTGAGATTTGTATGATAACATAGCCTGTTTATTAACGAACTGTAATTAGCCAGCTCGTGCCAGAAAGGATGCTAAGAAGCCGACGACACCGAAACCAAAACCTGAACAAGATCATGCGGTAACATCGGAAGACGAAAATGGGGCAACGATTTTCATCGAACACTGCACCTCCTGATCGGTATTCAAGCGCAAGGCGGCACAGATCCATAAGGAGTTGTGCGAACTTGCGCCGGAACAAGCGTTCGGTTTGCAGCTGAACGAAGGAGGTAAACCACGTCGTGGTGCATTCGAAATTTCCGTTCGTAAAACAAAGGATGCGAAGCAAGTCCAGGTGTGGTCCGGTTTTTCAAAGGGCCCTCCGCGGAAGGAGAAGTTCCCGGAAGCCAACGAAATTTTGGCTGATATTTTAACGGCCTTGAAATAGTTTCTTAAGGAATGAATGCCAGGTAAAATTGGATGCGAAACACTAGTATCCGTCGGCTCCGCATCTGTCGTATGAAAATGTTTGGGGAAACCCGAAAGGGACCTGAGCGTTGGAAGTTTGCTTATGTGAGCAATTGGTGGACTGGGTGTTTCGGATCCAAAATTATCAGCGTTTTTAATAATGGTACAAATAACTTTCAAATAAATTAATGTTACTTGCCTACCAGTTATGTTATTTCGATTAGGATAATCTACCGGAGAACGTAATCCTTTGGATAGTCCATTATCTTGGGGAAATTCTTCACCAGCTCTGTATCCATCTGGTCCAACCGCTCCGGTACTCGTCTGGGTTGACGAATTTGGTTGGTAACATTTTCCAGAATCTCCTCCGGGACGTTATCGTCTTTGAATAGGTGCAGTCTTTGCATAGTATGACGACGCTGAAGGTTGCCGTGCATGGATCGGTAGATGGCCTTTTTCATAATCTACTAAATCAGGGAAGACAATTATCTGCTTATCGAATTAAATATAAACCAGCCCTCTCCCCTTTAAAGTGTGGCGCTCATGACGACCATTATAAGTAAGAACTAGGGGTTGTTCATTAACTACGTAGACAGTTAAGGGAGAAGGGGGCAATTGTCCACGGCCAATACAAATTAAAAAAATTGTGTATGGACAATTGTCTACGCAGGGGGTCAAGAATAAAAAAAAAATTGTCTATGTAGTTAGCCCCCTATCGAAACGATGATGGTTTTCAAATTTCTTCACGATGAGGTAAGGAAAAGAATTTAAAAAAAATGCTTGTGTTATTGCGCCATTATAAGACCAGGGTATCCTTGGTAAAATTATACCTTCAGTAGTCTCAATGTATCAGGCTGTGCGGTAAGTGGCTTTACCGGCGGATTGAGGATTCGATCCATACTGTGCAAGTTTACGTAAAAACGGAAACTTCTCAACTGGTTTACTGTGTGTTGAATGAGTAAAGAATCTGTGCAACCGGCGGAGTAACTAACGTAATTTTAACTGCGGAAAAGACGTCCAGTTGCAGGGGATAATTTGAAGAAAAAAATAGGTCGCCATTATTGAATTGCCTCTAGCCTATTTTTTGTATGAACGAATGTACGCAAGGGGAAAGTAGTCTAAATTCTCTCTCGCTCGTCTCCGTAGTTTATGGACGGCCCAAGGGTACCATTTTCTACACGGAAAGTTCCGGTACCGATACATACCATAGTTGGATCCTTTTCATGTAGCTCCCACGCGAGTGTCCAGCTAGCGCCGCCAGCATATCCGGTGTGATGGAAGTATACTCGTTTCTTCCATTCATCTCCCGGCAGTGCAACTTCTCCCGTATTAATAACTACGACATGGTCACCGCAATCATCTGCAAGAGAAAGTTATGTGTTGGTTTCAATATTGGTGCAAGATTCTTGCGGAATTTAATAAATGTTGCATACTCATCGGATGATAGATGGGTTTATGGATGCCCATCAGGTGCTTTCGGATCAGTGAAGCCGACTCGAACGGATTTTGCCAGGTGCAGTCGTAGATATGCCAAGTTCGAGCAAATGTTGCCCATTGCTGGAATAATAATCATGTTTATGTAATCACGCTCAGAGTCCAGATAACATAAAATAAGGGAAGCTATTATTACCTGTACTCGTCTTGTTACAGACATTGTATTGAGAGCTTTCTATTTTCTGATGATATTTAAATTCAGTAGGTAAAATTTTAGTTGAAAATTGACTAAATTTTAATGTAATCTACACGTGAGAATCAAAACAAAACCCCACAACTTTTTGCATGCCGAGCTTGGAGATCAGTGACAGTTGATTACCTGGTCTTTTTCGTGTTGGTTCTAGTATTGGGCGATGATGTGTGTGGAAGAATATTTTTGGAGGAATTTTTCCAACCCAGAAACTTCCAGATAAAATCACACTGCAATTTATTTCAAGAAAGACTTTGCAGCGCTGCGATGGCGTCCTTATTATGAGCGAGATGCAAAGAATACAATCATCATATCCGTCAGACAAACTGGCTCTGTCAGCTGGTAAAATGGACTTTATCCATTTTTAAAAAGCTTTTCTGGCTTCACTGGTTTTACTTGGGCGTTTTGTTGTTTTGTTTGTTTCTCCCCGTTGCTCTTCCAAAACCAAAACCCTCCCACATGCCACCCAAGCAACGACGTGCATTTGAGTGAGATCAGCTAAAAACCGTGATGAGGCGGCAGTTCTCTGTTTTCAGTGGATACTATTGCTAGCTGTTTAATTTTCGTGAAAAGTACAATCAAATTCATACGCGTTTGTTAGATTTTATATTCTCGGTAGGTACGTATACTTTTGAAATTCATATTTCCAAGTGTATCATATTGTTCTATTAATGGAATCAAAAATGCTCAAGATTCATGTTTAGTGCAACACCCGGTAGACCTATATACTACACCCAACCATCCATAATATCTACGAGTCGAGAAGATCGTGAGGTCATCTTGTACAATTAATACCTTTTGCAGCACGCGTGTGAGCAATTGTTAGGTACCTATTGTTAAGATTTCTGAACACCTGCGTCATACTTTTGATATAAATCCTTTGTGTTATTGATTTCCCGATTGAAATGTGTGCTATAGTATGTCAACCACTTGACATAATAATTGCTTTATTCACTATAGGCTTCAATATCATGCATTTGTAATTACGATACAAGAAATAATATTATTTGAGCCGTACGGCAAGGAAAACTATAAGTATCAAGCGACAGTAGGTAATCTAATTTTTAAATTAGCCTTAGTCACGACTCGGTTACTAAGAGCACTTAAAAGCCCAGCTAGAATGCCTTAAACATCAATCATTCATTATTGGCTCATAGGTGCACTGTTATCAGTTTCAATTGTTCGTATATGTTATCTTGAATTCCGGTCCATGGAGAGAAAACTAGTTGTTTCGGGTGTTGTTCGTTATTATTCAGCAGCTTAATTCTTTGCATTCCTTTTCAGTCGTAGTGCAGCATAAAAATGCGTCTTAGTCCAATTGACCCCAGCTCGTATTCGAATGCACGTAAGATCTTTTGGAAAATAATTTCAAATCACTGCATAATAACCTACAATAACTATCAAACGTAGATGAAGTCATCATTCGCCATGTGGATCTCGATTGGACAGTCAACTTTGAAAAGTCTACGCTTTCCGGAGGCGCTTCCCTGTATTTCAAAACATTGAGAGATGATGTCGAAGAAATCGTAAAATTGGTTTAATTGGCAGTTGAAAAACTTTCATACTAACAGCACCTTCATTGCAGTTTCTGGATTCCAGTGATCTGGATATTGCATCCATGGCGATCAAAACGTCCGCCGGTGAGGTCCCGGTTACATGGGACATGGGAGCCCCGATTGAAAATATCGGCTCCAAGTTGACCGTTTACTTGCCTACGAAAACGTCCGGCGAATTTACGTTGGTTGTCGAGTATGAAACCAATCCGAAGGCGAGCGCCCTTCAATGGTTGACTGCCGAGCAGACCTGTGGAAAACAACATCCCTATCTGTTCAGCCAGTGTCAGGCCATTCACGCGCGGTCTCTCGTACCCTGCCAGGATACACCGGCTGTGAAGTTTACCTACAATGCTACGGTAAGATTTTTGAGCTTGGCACTAACGTCTCTAGTGAATATATATATTTTTTTATATAGCTTCGCCATCCTGCGGGTGTGACCGGATTGATGAGCGCTGTCAAAAAGAAGTCAGAGTCAGGTGTGTCGTATTTTGAGCAGAAAATTCCCATTCCAAGCTATCTGTTAGCCATCGTGGTAGGAGCTCTGGTGGAGAAATCCATCGGTCCGATGTTAGTACCAAAACTGTTCTGAAAGCTAAAAAGCACCGTGCTAATTTCCGCGTTTTTAATTTTTGTAGCTCCAGCGTCTGGGCGGAGAAAGAGCAAATCGACGAATCGGCGGAGGAGTTCTCGCAAACGGCAGATTTCATCGCCAAGGCGGAGGAAATCTGCGGACCATACGTGTGGGGTCGGTACGATTTGTTGGTGATGCCGCCGAGTTTCCCATTCGGTGGGATGGAAAATCCGTGTCTGACCTTTGTGACTCCTACCCTGCTGGCAGGCGACAAGTCACTGGCGACGGTCGTGGCACATGAAATCGCTCACAGTTGGACCGGAAATCTGGTGACCAATCGGAATTTCGAGCATTTCTGGCTCAACGAAGGGTTTACTGTTTTCGTGGAGGGAAAAATCGTTGGCCGACTGTTTGGTAACGCTTCACGGGACTTCCACGCTTTACACGGCTTGAGCGAACTGACGGACTGTGTAAGTACGGAACGGATAAAGTGTTTTTTATTTACTATGCTACTTCCACAATGCTTCTTTGATATTTCCTATTTACAAATTTGCTGAGAGCTCCCCAAAACTTAGCTGTAATAATGCCGAGTCTTGCCGACCTATTTGAGTTTGAAAAAGTGAGTTTGAGAAACTGTAGAAAAATCTCGTGACTGTGCCATGACTTCCAAGTCAGACATTTTTAAGGGCTTTCCGGATCCAGAGAGGGATCTACACACTTATTTTTTGTTGACATTTTGGTCTCGGAAAATGCTTTGCAGCAAAAAACGTCGTGAGTTCTCAGTAGAATTGTTTGCGAATCAAACAAACAATTGCCAAGATTCAGCAAAAAAAAACTAAGTGTGTAGGTCATTTTTAAAAGTTGAAATTTGGAGTTTGTGTAGCTTCTTTTAGAAATTACCTACCTACGTTTATTGAGCTTCTTCTATAGGCTCATGCATTAAGTACGTCACGTGAAATTCAGGAAAAATCAACCCCCTCTCCTATTTCTTAATGGAAGCTCCCAAAAGCAGATTTAACCAGGTTTACCCATCAGATGTTAAACCTGGTAAGCGTAAATCATAAACCAGGTTTACCTATATAGTTAAACCTGGTTTAAGGCTTAAGCCCAGGTGAAGAAATTTGCCCCAAGGGCTAATTTCGTCACCTGCGTTTAAGTGCTAAATCGGGTTTAATGATATGGGTAAAACTGGTTTAAGATTTAACCGCAGGTTGAGACATGAGCCCCATGAGAAGATGCTTCCTCAAAATCCACTGAGTCACTTGGACAATTTCAGAACATCTCCAGTTCTTTAGACATTTTCTGAAGATCCCGTAAAGAATTGTTTGTATCTGATTTCCTCAAACCTTCTGTGCTTGAATTAATCCGACATAATCCATGTTTTTAATAATTTCTAGACATCTAGAGTTTGTTAAACATCTCTGAAAGTTTCACAAATTTGGTGTGAAATGCTTATGCGAATCCATGTTGAATGGGTTCAATTCTCAAGAATAATACTAGCTTAATTTAATTTCGTAATTTCGACAATTGGTAATTACCTAAAGTGCTAGGAGTTTCTTATACTTTCTGATTTATAGCTGGATTTTTTTTTTAAATGTATTAGGTATATAACTTAAACCCACTAGAAACTGTTCTTCGAATTTCCACTAAGCGTTCTCCGAACTTCCCCTGGGAATTCTTCAAACATCTGATTTTAGTTCTCCAAACTTTCCCATGAAGTTCTACAAACATAACATTAAAGAGTCATCCAAACATCCCCTTGTAGTTCTCTGAGTTTTATCAGGAAATTCTCTAAATTCACGCTGCATTCTCCTGTAAGTTTTCTGAATTTCTCCTGGGAGTTCTCTAGATTACTCCTTCTTCGAACTTCTCTAAAAAAAATTCACGCATCTATTGCATACAAGCCTCTTGAACTGAATACACACACCTCTGTTCAGACTTCTTATTTGAAAATTCTCTATTCTACGAAAGAGCTGAACTTCTCTTATCATATCCCAAGTTTCGTTGAATTCTCAAGTTCAAATTTGTGTCAACTTTTAGCTGGATTTTACTCGAATTTAATAAGTAAGGGACTATCTGGCAACTCTAAACATCTTGTGGAGTTTCCAGCGTGCCTTTAATAAAGCTATTAACTACCGCGGGACGTTTCTTGATCTTTCCTTATTTTTTTTTAGATCAAGACCCAGCTGGCTGATACACCTGAGCTTACCAAACTGGTGGTAGACCTGTCCGAGTGCAGTCCGGATGATGCATTTTCAACCGTTCCTTACATCAAGGGCTCCACATTCCTTCGCTACCTGGAGGACCTCCTAGGAGGACCGGAAAAGTTTGAACCGTTCTTCCGTTCCTATTTGGATAAGTTCAAATATCAGTCCGTGTTGACAAACGATTTCAAGAAAGCCCTGTACGAATGGTTCCGCGAAGATCCCAAGAACGAGGTATTTTTGGAACGCATCGATTGGGATCGTTGGTTGTCGTGCGAAGGAATGCCACCGGTCATCCCGAAGTAAGTTCAACAGATAAACGGATCTTTGTTTTGTATCATAAATGCATTTAAAATTTTAGCTACGACCGTTCGCTTTTGGATGCCTGTCAGAACCATGCGAAACTGTGGGCTGAAAATGACCTCGAAACAATCAAATCGTCCCCAATCTTGTCGGAGTCGTTGACCAGTATTCAATTGATTGAATTCTTGGCCCAGCTGTTGGAGAAGAAAAAAATCCAAGATTTAACCGCGGAAAAGATTGCCCTATTGGACCGAACCTACCAGATCCACGCAACGAAGAATGCCGAAATCCGTTTTAGATTCGTTCGTCTGTACATTCGTGCCAAAATGATGGATAAAATGGATGAAATCCTAGCCTTTGCCAACAGCAACTTCCGTATGAAGTTTGTCCGACCTGTCTACAAGGAATTGGCGGGCTGGCCGGAAGCCAAACCAATCGCTATCGAAAACTATAATAAGATCAAAGACCAGATGATGACCGTTTGTGCCTATACGGTTTCGAAGGATTTGGGACTGGAATCTGGCAAATGATCGGTGTATGTTACGAAGAGAGTTCACTTTTTTGGCATTGATGATGATGGATGATGTTTTTTGATAACGTTTAATAAACTATCGATAACAAACAAGTACGAGCATATGCTAAACTAAAATTGACTTTCGCGAAAGATACGGGTTGGTTCGTTGTGTTGGCGATTGCCGTGGAATGTTCATCTGAATGTCATCAACACGCTCCTTCGAACGCCAGTTAAGAAAGAGTAGGGTCCCTCCTATTGCCATCAGAACAGCACCTATTATCGTTAACGGCTGAAAGAAAACCAACAACAATATAGATATCACATCCCGCAATACATATATCAATCAATACACGGGTTTTCTCACCTCCGGAACATACTCCAGGGTATATTTTTTGTTGGTACATTGAGTCATTGTGATGATGGAAACAATCAGCAGCAGCACAAATACGATATAGGCCAGCGTTATCTCTGCAATGTGCTGTACCTTGAGCGCCGTGGTTGATTTGATCAGGTCTAGCGCATACACTGTATACGATAGCATGGCTAGGACGGCACTCGCCGTTGTGGAGACAATGTATGTTACAGCCCTGCGGAAGTAAGTTATGAGAAATTGGTACTCCCTGCAAATGTTTTTTTTTGTTGAGTCTAATAGGATGCGAAAGATGCAGTTTCCTATAAGAGATCTTTTGTATTTTAATGGAACAAGAGAAATTTAAAATGAGCGTACATTCGAATATTTCAATCAATGTTGGAGAAATTCCATATGTTCTAAGGAAGATATAAAATCTCAGCAGCGAATTTATTATGCAAATCTGTAAAAATACAACACCAAGTAAATATTTTGGTTTTATCACGGTTTTGAAGAGGCATTGAAAATAGAATGATGGTTATTTAAGAAGATGGTTACATTCTATTCTCCCATAGGGGTCGAACAAACTGCGGTTTGGGCCACGACTTTATCCATGTTATGTCCGGCCTCATGTCCAATCACTGTCAGACGTCCATTTCTATCGAGTTGGGCTATCGATCAACAATGCGTATGCCTGTGGTGAAGATTTTCACGATATCGAGTTTGTTGTTTCGTCATGTACCTCATATCGTGCTATTCGACCAAAGCCTTTTAAAGAAAACACCGGTCAAGACTTTTAAAGCTAGTCTAAAAGTAGACACCTAAAACATATTTTTATGAGAAAATTTAGCACTGGAACTTTAAAAAGTTGATCTCAGTTATTATTCGACGAAGTATATTTTCAAATTCCGGCAAACCATATTCTCAAATTTCATTAAAGTTTTCTATAAGTTCTATAAGGTCACACATGCACACGTGAACACATAAAACAATACAACTTACCAGAAGTGTGACTCACTACAGTCTCCAGACGTGACAAAGATCAATCCTCCTATTATGATGCATAGCTGCAATGTTCGAAATCAGCAAGTATAAATTGAACTGCATTCTCCTAAAAACGCAAGGGATATGGCCATGTCTTACCAATGAGATTACTTTCAGAATTCCTGCTGATGATAGTATAAAACCCGCACCACTAGACATGCTCACAATAACAAGGAAGTTAATAAATGAACTAAATTTGTGATTGGTGCATTTTTCCTGTATACTGGTCTTTAGTGAACTAATAATGGCTTCCTTTACTTTCAATTCTCCCGGGCCACATAAGAGCGATTGCTGGTCATTTTTATATTCAATTAAATATTATTGAGATTTCTAGTACCGATAGCTTGTTTGATAGATAAGACTTCTCCGGACTGTTAGCACAAGGAAGTGTTTCCATTTCGATTTTTTTTTTCTGGATTCAATACAACAAGGCACGCTATGCGTCTTTTGCGGTAAATTAGGTCTTTTTTTTTTGTAGATTCAAAAATCAGATGGAAGCATCTTGAAGCTTACAAAACATTTTATTAGATTTCCATGAGTGTGGTCATATTCCAAATATTTGATAAAACCTAAAATTAGCTGTATAGGAACAACATTAACCTTATCGTTGTTTGAAGCCGTATTTTTTCCTCTCGTAGAACAAATCCGTTTTCGAGCTACCTAGGTTGACAATCTTCGGGCAACCGTCCCTCTGTGAACACATAACAAACATTAAAACCAAAAAACTCAAAGCCACTTTGGGCCTGCTTACATCTTTCTCCTGGATGGTGCATTCCTTGCAGTAGTACGCATCAGACACACCTGGACCGCCGCAGATTACGCATCTTCCCTGGTAAGAACCGTAGTTGCACTCGTCGCAAATCCGCACCAGAGTACAGGGACGAACGTAGGAATCGCAGATGACACACTTTCCGTCGCACTTCTCACAAAGGCGACCAATGGCTGAAAAGATAGACGGTAAATTTGTACGTTTTCTTAACGTTCTTTTGAAAGTTGCGAGCTCACCAACACCCGGTTGCTTTCGACAGAAAATAAGATCTGGATGATGCTTGGCCATCGCTTAATGAAAACGTCGCGGAAGCAGATTCTAGTTTCCTCTTCAGGGGAAAGCGTAAACAACAATGCGGCGACGCGGTGTGAGAAACGTTTGGGAAAATCTGAGAAAATAGATTGTCAAAAGAGCGTTACGTTAGAACCTTCAAATTTGCGAGCGTTACGGTCGTTTCAATTTATGCTGCTGCGAGTGCTGGTTGTCAACATCGTCCGTGTCGCGAAGCGAAAGTAAACACTTTCCTCCCATCGAAATATCCATCGTCCATTATCAGATTCTGTTTTTTTTGTTTATTCGTCGGAAAAGCTGCGCATTTACCTTTTCCGTCGATTTTCCGGGAGGTAGTGAAAACATCAACCGCTTCACCAATCAGTCAGTGTGCAAACAATGGCGGAGTCGCTGGAAAATAGTGCCCCAATCGCTTCCACATCTTCGTCTTCGACTGCTGCTGCTCTTCTGGTAGATATACACAGCGATGGCGACGAAAATAAACAATCCCAGGCGGAAATGGACGAGAAATCTGACCCAGAAATTGGTAAGGTGAAAACTAATGGCTTGTGGACCGTGCTAATCGAATGTTTTGTTTTTGGTAACCAGTGAAAATGGAGTGCCCCGTATGCCTTCAAACATGTATCCATCCCGCAAGGCTGCCTTGTGGCCATATTTTTTGCTTCCTTTGCGTCAAGGTGAGTATAATTTATTATTGAACCAGGTACTTCATAGTGATTATTCCGTGTTTTTATTTTCCTACGGTTGTATACTGTGAGTAAGCAAATATAAATTATGCTGCAACTGTATGAATAATGCTGCCACTTACCAGTCTAGAAGAAAGACCGATTATTATGTCCCATGTTTCATGTTTGATGTTCACCTTCATTGCATAAACATTTGAACTGGCTAATGACACTAAAAACTTCTACGCTGTGAGATTACATCATTGACAATTTCTCTTCGTTTCTTAAGTGTTCCAATATTTACCTATTAACTTACAACGAGAACCATATGAAAGAAGGGGACATGAAGTTCAGCAGCTTTGTCCACCGAGGATGATCTTGAAACAAGAAAAACAATTAGTTAGTTAAAATTCATCTATGTGATTCCTAATCTTCTTTTCGTTGTTTCCATAGTGGTTAAAACTAGGGTTCTGATGCATGGTCATTATCGGTGTCATTGCTTAATTGTGGTGCTAAGGATTTCAGTATTGACTGACAAAGGGACGCGCAGTTGGAGGGTGATCTCGCTCTTCGAAGGATATAAATAGTGGGACCTTTCCATTAGAAGCGACTCTTTGTGATGAAGGCAAGAATTACAACTGTATCAAAACCGAATACTTCATCATTTCTCAATAGTACCCTACATACACTACACACAGAGAAATGATTTTTAAATTCAAATGGATATATTTTTGGCTCAGGGCCTAATATATTATTGTTATTGATTCTAATATATTATTCGGTTGATTCAAAGAAATATATTTTTGAATCAACAAACCGGTTGTAGAGTCAATAATTTGTTTGTTGTTTTTAAAAACCATTTTGTTGATTCAAAAATATGTTTTGTTGAAATAGTGATACAATATGTTTGAATCAATAACAAAATACATTAGGCCCTGAAACAAAAATCCATTTTTCTGCGTGTAAACTAAGGACACGGGATATACGACAATATATCAAATTACTGGTCGCACGTGTGTTATGTCCCGAACAGAGGGGAAAAAAAAGTTCAGCAGTGTCGTAAGAGAGAATAACAAAAATGGTTTGTGGGCAATACGACTTTTAAAATCCTGGACCTGGAGAATCAGGAAATATCAGATAAATGTATTTTCGGCCTAGAAATCAAGAAATTTCTTTTAAATTCTGAGAAATATTTCTTAATCCTCTCAGACAATTTATTAAAAAATGTGACTGTTATGATAATACACACCCATTTCATTTTGCCGACCAGCAAAATAAAGTATCGCAGAAGTGACAGCTCTTTCCTGTTAATCAGTGAAAATTCACTGATTCTTTCAGCAAATCCAAGTGAACCCCTCTTTGCTGTACAGCCAGAAAAATAAATTGAACTAAAATTGGGTTTGATTATTGTCTTAGAGATCAATTATTAATTGTGAAAAGGCACAGTAATCATTCCAGATTGCTGTTATATTTTTTCGCCAGTTAGATCTTGTTTTTATATTGTCTGACAGCAGGCTTGCAATTGCTCATTACAGCTAAAATGCTATTTTTCGGTATTATGAAGCAATGGGATACTATAATGATAATTTTTATTTGTAAGACGCAAGAAGAGGTGGTAAAGTTTGTATATGACATATAAAATGTGTCAATTTTGCTTTCAGAAGGTCACAACTAGCGATTTTATGGTCGCTGATTGCTCGCTCATCGCGTTGCTCATCGTTACAGCTAATCGCTATTGTGACCCTCTGAAAGCTAAAATGGCATGTTTTCTGTGTCATACACACACTTTACTGCCGTTATACGCATAAGAGTCCCACGGTACATAAGGATTGCATAGAACATGGGACAGTTATGCGTATAACGGAAGTTTACCTTCTGTTATTGCATCTTCTAAATAAGAATTATCATTGTTTATTGTTTATTGTTTATTGAAAAATTCAACTGACAATTATTGTCTAAATGAATAAAACTTAAACTAAATAGTTACCGTCAACGGTCCGGAAAAGGCCAAGTAGCCGATGACGAAACACGTCAGCTGATACATTGAAGTCGAACATATAAAAAAAGTTTTTGAATTGCCGGCTGATTGCTCGAATTGGCTCGTGTTGTGTATAATTCCGGCTCCTTGGTTCCAAAAACAGAAAGTCGCGTTGACGAAGAGACCTCTGAGGGGCATACATATTTAGCTGTGACAGCAGTGTTGGACAGTCAATGTCACCCGTAAGCAGCTTTCCAGCGAACATAGCTTGAGCGACCGTCCGTCTCACCTCTAATGGCTCGATTCGATACGGTGGCAAGTTCGTTGGGTCACGCCAGTTGAGGAAACGAAGAGCATCCGTACAAACTTGCGTTGAACGGATTCAATTCTAGTGATCCAGCAAGCATGGAAAGGGCACCAAACAACTGAACTTGACTCTAATAAGGATCGCACAAGCGAGCAGTATAGTGACCTGAGGCATAGCGGGTCACGAAACTCGTCGGCAATTTTGAAAATAAAGCCCAATTGTCGATTAGCTCTGGAGATGATGTCATTGTATTGGGTTCTGAAAGTGAGTCTGCAGTCCAAGGTAACGCCGAGATCCTTTGTGTTCTACACGAGCAAGACAGTGTCCGTAGAGAACATAGTCAAACATTATTGGTTCGATTTTTCGGTTATAGGAAATAATGTTACATTTTTCTATGCTTAGACTCATCAAATTTCTTTAGCACCAGTCAGCAAAAATACCTAACATATTCTGGAGATCCCAGCAGTCCGAGAGGCTTTTAATAATTTTGTAGATTTTCGTATCGTCTGCATAGAAAACGCGGCATCCTGATGGTATCAGCAAGGCGACGTCGTTTAAAAAGATCGAAAATAGTAGCGGTCGTAGGTTACTGCCTTGCGAGACTCCCGAGTTGTTTGAGAAAACATCCGATTCCGACATGTACATAGCGATTCACCAAGTAAGATCCGAACCAATCCACAGCAGTTGACGAAATGCCAAGTATCACCAGCTTGGCCAGCAAGATATTATGGTCCACCATGTCAAATGCAGCTTTTAGAACCACATACGCAGTATCGACTTGCCATCCTGAATCCATGCATCGTAGACAGTTAGAAGTGAACTGCACCAGGTTCGTGGACACGGAGCGCTTCGGGTAGAAACCGTGTGTTCTGTATCGATATAATTTTTGCAGCGTGCGAACAGAGCATCATTTATGATAATCTCGAACAGTTTTGAGCAGGCAGCCAGCGAATCCAAACACATAAAGCTACCAACGATACAGACAAAACGGTTGCTACGACTACCATGACAAATTCGCTCTGTAACATAGCTCGATCTGAGTTGTAGAAGGATAATGATATATTGCTTGCATGCTTTGTTGCAATATACACGGATGAGGACATAGCTCGATCTGAATCGAGAAAAGACATAACAAAAAAATTCCCATTAACACACGTGTATCATGTTCGGCTTTACTTCGTGAAGCAGCTTGCCAACAATTTGCTCGTTTCCTTCTACCGCCCCGAGTGAGTTGTGCCGCACGGGCTGCTTGTCATGACAAAGAACGAAGAAGATTATACCATTATTGCTTTCCACTTCTGACATAGCGTTATTATTCGGTTCGTTGATCGCTTGTCATTTTGTCATTTGGAGATATTTTTGATTCCTTGGCAGGCACACAGGGAGGTGATTCCACGATAATTTATGACATTGCGTTTATCTCCTTTTTTGTACACTGGGAACAGATAAGAAAGTTTCCAACGGCAGGGGAACTCACATTGCTGTGCCGAGAGATTGAATAGCCTTGCAAGTGGAAGGCAGAGATTGGCTACACAACGTTTTAGAACTGATGACGGAATGCCATCAGGTCCGGCGGCGAACGAGAGCTTCAGTTTTCGTGTTGCGGCTATCACCATGTCTTCTGAAATGCGCGGAATAACGAAACTAAACACATCACGTGGCACCCCAGCAGTAGCGTCCAGCACTTGTGTTGGCGAAGCGGAGAAATCGTGAAACACTTGCTTGAAATGACGAGCAAACAAGTCGCATTTTTCTCTTTCGCTATTAGCCGAGTCATTCCCGAGAAACATGGAACAAGGCAACCCGGATTCCTTCCGTTTGGAGTTGACAAACGACCAAAAACTTTTCGGATTCGTGCGAAGGTTCGCTTCCGTGCGTCTCACGTGTCGATTATAGAGAAAACGATTGTAATTTCGATAACTACGACTCGCAAAATTGAACAGTCGTTTGTAGTACGGCGAGCGAGAGTTACAATACTTTCGGAGGGCGGCAGAGCGTTGACGTTTTAGCACGCGTAGGCGTGGGTTAGACCATGCAGGCTTTAGCGGAGGTCGTCGAGCTGGGACAAAGCGGAAAATAGCATCTTCCAGTGCAGCACTGAAAAAATCCACTGCATCATTCATTAAAATATCTCATTCATTTCATAAATCCGAAAAAAATAGCATTTTAGCTGTAATGAGCATTTGTAAGCTTGTCTGACAGTATGTAAACAGAGGACATATCGGAACTAGTGTTCGCTGAAATCAAATGGAAAGTATGTCGCAATGCTGAATTCGGCTAGTAATATGCACGATGAATTTGTTATAGAGTGCACTTCGATCCATGAAAACAATAAACGCGCGAATGTAAAACTCAAAACACATCCCTTTTATGACAGATTATGCAGGTAGCTGAGCATCCAGCAAAATTTTCCGAATTGCTGGTTAATCAGTAAAATGTATTTTTGCTGGAAGTAGTTCAGCAATCCATTTTGCTGGAAATAGATTCTGATTTTTAGTGTGATCCTACAATTATACCACAGACAAACAGACGTAAAACTTCATTGTGTATCTTCGTTAACGCATTTAACGGTTGATTTGAATACTATCAGTTCCGTGAACTACTCGCCGCAGCGCTGGCATCGGATCACTTTGACGTTTCTATACACTCAGAATTTTGTTTAAACTAATTAGGCCGTTCGCAATGCTGTTGTATTTTATATTGCGCGTTTCACACCAAATTGGACTA